TGGCCGCGCAGATTGAAGGCCTGTATTCAAAATTACGGAGGTCATTTTGAATAAACTATAGTGTCATAAGAATCTATGTTTTGTTAAGTTCATTTTGGTATATAAATGGTTACATAATGAATAAACTTGTTTCAATTATTTTACATTAAACATGTGATAGAATTTATGACCTGACTAGGTAATATGCAATTTGGGTACAGATGATAAACCAGGGTCACATTGGGTAGCTTTATATATCGATACGAATGACGTCGGTGAATATTTTGATTCATATGGACGGGCACCTGTACGAAATTGTAAAAGATGGAACTGGAATGTTGATAGGACTTCAGTTTGTGGCGAATATTGCTTAATGTATTTGCTATATAAGTTTCAGGGATGTTCAATGCATAGTTTTACGAGTATATTTACAGAGAACACATTGTACAACGATATGTTAGTGGATGAGATGTTTCGCTCCTATTTTATAGATAATAAGTAATAAGATTTTGTATTTTATAAATAAAAATTTTAACAAAATTATGTAATGTGTTTAAAAGATGGAACTGGAATGTTGATAGGACTTCAGTTTGTGGCGAATATTGCTTAATGTATTTGCTATATAAGTTTCAGGGATGTTCAATGCATAGTTTTACGAGTATATTTACAGAGAACACGTTGTACAACGATATGTTAGTGGATGAGATGTTTCGCTCCTATTTTATAGATAATAAGTAATAAGATTTTGTATTTTATAAATAAAAATTTTAACAAAATTAGGTAATGTGTTTTATTGATGATTCAGATTAATGTTGTAGATAGGAACAAAGGAGTATAATACAATAGCATAAGCCGACCCACACGCTGACGAATAATAGATAATGACGGTAGTCAATCAACAATAGATAAGTAGATAAGGACAATGGAGCGCTAATGACGGTTGAGGCTCGTAGCGGATATCAATTAGATAAGAGTTAATTGATCTGCTCATCTCCGGAACCGTGCATCCTACGCAAAAATGGACCGCAGATTCGTGATCAGAGCATGCCAAAACCTTTTTTTTTTTTTTTTTTTAGGATTGTGAGTCGACGAACGTCGTGCGCCAGAACTGGTACAATCTAACTACTCTTACTAGCGGGTAGACAATACACACTAAACCTTGCCGATAAATTACACATAAGAACTTTTATTTTCATTTCTTCTTCTTCCATTACCGTTACATCCCATCAAAGCTCGCAGGTGAACATAAGCCTACCCCATAGATTGCATCGTAGGGAGTATACTTGCCGTACTCGCACTCCCGCGGTTTACAGCCGCCATTCTTATAATCTTGAGTTGTCATCAGGAAGATGCTGCTGCTTATCTTCTGTTCTAGTTACCCTCTGCCGCCTCTTACGGCTCCTACTCCAACACCAATCCAACAATCCTACTCCAAATATATGTATAGTCGTCAGTTATCCTTTCTGAATTGAAAAAAAAAACTGTCGACTGCCTCTTTGGTTCAGTGGTCTTAAACGTCACCGATGATCTAGAGGTTCCGGGTTGGATCAAAACCAATTATTAGGTTTTCCGGACAAGAAATTTTCAGTAGCAGCCCGGAGTCAAGAAGTTGGCGGTGTTTCAACCCCGTGCCTTAGAGAGAGTAAAGGAATGGAGAGTGTATTATTGCTCGCGCATACACTCGTGCACTATCATCCTGTCCTGCACAAATTCTTCTCCGTTGAGACTGGCCGCCGTGACCGAAATTAGGTATGAAGGACGTAAGTAAAAAATAGCTATAATGTTATACTTATTTTTATTAAATTTATTATAATAAAACAATCTGTGAGACAAAATAGATGATCTGAGAAACGTTCAAAGAGACCTAAGCTAATCTACATATTTGTACATGTCCCTGTGCGGAGCCCATCCCGTGTCCTAGTGTGTTTTGGAAGACCTGGAACAAAGTTACATCTTTAAATATTTTTATAAGATCAGGGTTACAAACGAGCATACAGTCCACCTGATGGTAAGTGGTTTGCTGCGGCCCATAGACATCTACATCTATCCTCGATTAGGAATCATAATGCAAATGCGTTAAGCACTAAGATGGAATACCTAATTTCCAGCAAAAAGGTGCTTAAGATCTCTACACTCACAATACGAAACACTGCAGCAATAAGCTGCTATTTTACGACGGTATTAAGAGCGTGGTCTTTTCCCGGCCGTGCCGACCCATTAGTGCGTTACCACGTTAAAAATCTATATTATGTATATGTAGATTAGCACATAGTTGTGGAATTAGAATCAGTGGATTATTATATACCTTAAATAAATAATTATGAAAGGTAAAAATATTTTTGTAATAAAAATTAAAGCTGAAGTTAAATAAACTATTTTTTCTTTTTCAGTCAACCATTGACATATATTACGAACAACTAAAACGGACCAGTGCGCTGGCCCTAAAATTACAGTTTAAGGCCAACGCGAATCGGTCGACAGTGGTGCGCGCGCAGGACTGATTTGTCTGTCACAAATATGTCTAGTTGCATGGTAAAAGAATGCAAAAATTACGATACAAAGATTTAAAAAAAACATGGGATATTGTATCATCGGTAAATAACCTTATATTAATTTTGTTACAATTAGGTTATTGTATAACATTAACTACAGAAGTTTAGTTACATTACCAAGATTGGGCGAGGGTTGGATTCAGACTCTCAAAAATATTGTACATGGAAAATAAAATTACAAAATTTAAAAAAAAAATTATATCACCTTCGACGTTTCATGTTTAGTTTTTCCCATGTGCTGGGATTTTGGCATCACGCGTCTAGTTTATCTATACGTTTCGTTTTTTGACGGTTTTATTTTCGTTTAATTTTTATGTAAAGAACTTATTGTAAGTTAAATTTTGAATATTGGTACCTTATATATTTTATATTCAATAAGGGTAAAACTAAAAGAGTACAAAAGAAACCATATCTGCTTAATTGAATCTGAAAATCTGATTCATAAAATATTTTTTAATTCTGTTTTCAAACCGATTGCTTCTGGAGCATAGAGTTTTTATCGTGGTAGCCCCTCATCATAGTTATATCAAGGATGCAACATAAATGCATCGATCGAGCATCGATTGACCAGAAAGGGAGCTAATTCTAATTTTATAAAAAAATCGACGTACTCATGTATAATACAGAAATTCTCGATATCGTAGGGGTAATATTAAAATGTAAAAGGACCCAATAATAATACAAGTCGACCTTTAGGTAAAATTATGGTATTTTCGCTTAGTATTATTACGATACTATGTACTACAAACTATGAAATAATGGTACAATTAGGATAATTATACTACGAAATCCGACGCTGGTTACGTCGTGTTATGATATGACGTTTGTATTATGACAGATGCGCTACTTTTTCTTGTATGAAAAAGTTATGAGTAAAATATTTAGATGGGCCTATCCTTCCTTTTTAAATCATTGGTCTTAACACCTTTAATTGTTTGATGTTTTTGAGTAGACTAAGGAAAATCACAAAGTCAAGATAACAACTAGAATTATGTCTAAATAGTTACATTAAAAACTGCATCACTGCATTTTTTGGTGGTGGAGTGTTTCTCCTCATTTATAAGAGATATTTATTCGCATTTACTCATCTCTGAAGTATAACTTGTATGAACAAATGATCATTTACAATCGCTACACAATTGACGAAGATGTCGCGTAATATTATACAAACAAAAAAGATCATACAATCTTCTTTTTCCTGATAATAACTAAAAATATTGTCGGTTTATAGGCAGTTACCAACCTGCCTTACCAAGCGTGTCAACTGTGGAAAATGTCTTCCCTACAAGGCAAAATCTATGGGGGCTTATGTTTAGCAGTGGACTTCAGATAGACTGTAATGGATAAATCAATAAGCGGTTATCGAAAACATTTCAATGTTTTCGATAACCGCTAAAGAAACGTTGTTCCATTAATAAAAAATAAACGTCAAAATATTATCGGAGATATTTAAAATGTAAATTTAAATTTTAAAAAATTGTTTCTGTAATATTTGAATATTTATTTTCTTTTTTAATGTTCACGCCTTTTTACACATGTTTACTAAAAGTGGGTCTTCTTTCGTCTTAGTTACAGATTTTCGGTGCACACAGGATACTAACTTTCATTGTGTACGTGGTAGAACCATGCTGAAGCTATATTATGGTTGGTAGCAAAAATGAATCGGCTCTAACAGACCACGGACCATGCTCTCACAGAATCTCGGTATGGTGAGTGTAAAGAACGGAGACCCTTTTTACTGGATAGGAGGGATTCTATCTTAGTCCTCAGGGATGACAATTAATCGAGGATAGTTGTAGATATCTATGGGCCACAGTATCCATTTACCAGCGATTATTTGATTTGATGAATCGATTTTTTCAATTTTGCTGTTAACAAATAATGGATTAACCGCAATAGACATATCGATTAATCGAAAAAAAATTCTAGGTTTACGTTGAAATAGATTCGATAGATTCGATACCACGATGTGCGAAACACTGTAATCTCAGTAGAAAGATGAGAACCAGTCAGCATATTTCTCATGTCAGTAGCGATCAGGCCAACCTCTGAAAGTAGTCTTCTAGAAGGCACTGATGTTAAAATAATTGACAAGTGTTTAATCGCCGCTTTATAATTAATGAAGTATTACTCCCATAGCAACTAAGAAAATTTCCTAACTAAAACACCTACAAACAATAAAACAAACAAACAAAACTACTAACATCAGTTTTATCTCATATCGTGAAATATCGATTAATTAGCATAAATAATCACTGTAATCGATTATTTGAATTTAAGATTAATCGATCTTTTGATTAATTGAATCGATATCTAACATTGTTACCATCAGGTGGGCTATGTGCTCGATTGACACCCTTATTCTATAAAAAAAATATTTAAGATTGTTTCTTTAATAAATCGGAGCGTTGAAAAATGTGCTTAATAGCGGTGAGATCGGCGAGTACCTACGGTTACCTGTGGGCGCAGCTAAGCGGGGGCGGGAGTAGGCGTGGCGGTGGGCGGGGCAGTAGGCGTGGCCGAGCGCAAGGTGGGGCCCGCGGTTGACTCCTTGTTGCTGCTTCTGTTCTGGCGCTCGCGTTTCAGTTTCTCGCCGCCCATGATGGCCTTGATATCGTCCGCGTCCAGCGTCTCGTATCTGTAATGCACATTGTTATTACTCTACCCCTTCAACGGAAGAATAGAAAGAAGAAAAGAAAATACGTCGAATTTGCAAATATTGGCGTACACATTAACCTTAGGAATAAACAAAACACAATAAGAGAGAATTCGATAAAAAAAGTGATTCAGTGCTATCTACACCATCCCCAATGCCATTAAGACCCACTTTTAAACGCTTGAGTCAGAACTGCACGAAGATAAACAACTTATCAGCCTAAACAATATTAAAAATCTTATAATGTAATGGAATTATAGTATAGGATAATTCGAATAACTGAAATCTCCATAAAACATAAATATAAGAAAAGTTATTTATATTATTAGACAGTAATTAGACATTTTTAATAATCAATCAGAAAATAGTACAATATTATATTCTTATCACTAGGTATTTACATTAAATCTAATGTAATTTTTTCTACGGTTTTTTTAGAAGTAGAAAGAGTGAATGAGGAAAGAGGAACAAAGCAAATTTGTGTTGCAGAAGTGAACGGAAAAGTTGGAAAGAGACGTCCTATGCGGAAGTTTATCGACCAAATTGGCGATATATCGAAAATGGGGAAAATTAAGAGTACCCTTAAGAGGTGAGAGTAAGTCAGCTCAAATTCTAATTTCGCCCCCACTTCCCCGCGCGTCGTATGCTATGTACCGATATGTTTGTAATCACTAATACTCTAAGTAGATAGGTCGTTAGATACTTATTTCATTATGTTTATCATATATATACCTGTTTCTTAACGCCAGTCGCTTCTTATTTTTATAACGGTTATTTCCCATTTTAATTTTACGTCTTCCTGTTGCGTAATGTGTTTTCTGATCGTAAGCGACACAACTTCTCCCTTCAAAAGCCGGAGCAATACTAACGGAGCGACAGGAACCAAGCTTACGCGCCGATAGTTTAGGTAATTTCTTTTTACAGTGAAAATAATGATATTTAAAAAAAAGTAAATAACATAAGCACTGCTTTATGGTTAGTTCAGTTAGTATGCAAAGTTTCATGATCTTATTTAAAGTATTTTATGAATAACAGCGGTTTATTGTTCAGTTTGGAGGTAACTTTGGATTTTTTTTTCTATCGAGAAAATTTTACGGAATCGTGTTTTCGTCTAACATAAACCTTAACATTAATCCTCAACTTTACCATATATTTATTTCAAAATTAATGCTGCAATACTTTCGGCATAACGGAGGATCTTGCTAAGCCATTTGAGGTTATATTTCCCCTTAACCGACGAGCATGTGTGCGTAGGTATATGGATATGGAGGAGGCGAGAGAGGTATATCAGGATCGAGCTAAATGGAAGTCTGTAATCTCTGCCTACCTCTCTGGGTGACAAGCGTGAGTGTTTATGATATGATCTAATATAAATAAAAATAAAGTTTTTTTGCAGTAGCAGTGTTGGCAATAAAATACGCGTATTTTTCTCGGTTCGCTCTTCGCGGTGAAAAGTGTGAGCACACCTGTTGATTGTACGCAGAAAAACACAGAGGAGGACGAGAGCCACACAACCTACTGGACGAAAGCATACAACGTACTGCCGCCCGTCCCTGCGCCGGCCCGTGAGCGTAGAATTCACTCAGTTTTTGGAATTACTGTGTTAAAAAAAGAAAAAGCGGTCTTTTTTTTAAAAATGGCAAATTTTAGTATTCATTATTATATTGCCAGTCCATTGGCGTCAATCAGAAAATAAAATAATGCTTACTTTACGTTTTTAATATTTTGGATTCATTGTAAGAAGATTAATTACACATCCTCTAAAAAAATTGGAATTGGCCATTATGAATCAAGATTATGTAGAAATTTAATGTATTTTTTTATTAGTAGATATATCGTTTAAAAAACAAGTAGATAGTCCCTAAAAACACACACAAATAACGCTACGTTTTGCTAAATAATGCGTCTTAACCAGAGTCATAGTAAAAACAGAATATTAGGATAAAGACAAATGCCTACTGTTGTAGGGTTGTCACTGTCTTTTTGTTTAAATTTTAACAGCGGAGTCTCTTTTAGTTTTATAAGTGGTTATAATATTTACAAACATAATACATACGAATACTTACATCTGCATCATATTTGTTAATCGTTTCTTTGATTTTCTCTCAAAGATTCAATGTTGGTCAAAAAAAATCCAGATTTACGTTACAACAAATGCCAAATAACTAAAACACGAATAAATTAACACTGAGCATATGGTGTCAGCTCAGATTTGATGTTTAAAATTAATTTGATCTTATGTGATATGATAATTAATGTACTTATGAAGTATGTATTTATGTATAGATATAGCAATATAACATATTAATAAAAAGCTAATTTACTTAAACAAACCCATATATTAATTTATTTTACAAAAAGAAAAAAGACTGCAAGGAAAACTTTATTAAAAGTCAACAAAGTCTCATACAAAGGTGATTGCGGAGCGCGGCGGTGACTGTCCCCGACTCGGCCAGACCTTTCCAATTAACAAGTGTCGTTGTGTGCGAGCTGTGGCTCGTGCGTACAATCGTCCGTACTGTCACGTGTCAGGCACGCACACATATTAGCGGCGTTCGGTACATTTCTTAGAAGAAAGCATACTATTCTGTTTTTACTATGCCAGAGTTGCTGCCAGAGTAACAAATTACTAAAAGTGACGATCCAGCGACATGGGTATCATATGGAAGGTATTGAGTTATGCACATTCCTGTAATCTGCGAATGATAAGCTATTCAAATAAAATAAAAAAATTGTCCTCGTAATATGTGTAGTTACGGTGATATTAATTTTTGAAAAGGTTAATCGAAATTGTACACTTTTAGGAAATGGCTATTTGAAGTAAAAGGACACGAAAAAAGAACAAAGACAAGACAAGAAAAGAACAACGATTAACTATTTTACTACTACTAGCTTCTGCGTTTCTAAAAATAAAGTTAAAATTTGATAAATTAAATGAGAAACTTGGTAATGGATTAATTAATTGTGCCTTCTTAACATTCTTTGGAATTTATAATATTTTAACTTTAATGATATTTTTGCATTGAAGCCTTCATATGTTGTTAGATACATTACAAGACTATATTTAGAGAAAATCGTGTGCGAAAATAAAACAAAAATACCAAATAAAATCAGGTTTTATTTTTTATTACAAAATATTCGCGACATATTACCATTACTTTTTCATTGTAATAAACAAAATATTCTTTGGATGAATCAACGTAACACTTCTATTAAAATATGATACAATTAACAGAATCTTACTTAAGCTCCTATTTTTAATTTTTTTTACCCTCTTAAACTTACGTAACAATTACAATCACTGTTCCATACATTTGAGAAAAGGTACTTTATGGTAATTACGTAAAAATACTCGGAAAATATGAAATTAACAAGACGCATCGATAAATTACTATAATTATAATCAATTAACGTAATATTCTGATATTACGATTTGCAAAGTAAAAAATTCAGTTTTTTTGCGAAATTTAATAACTGATTTATATTTATTTAAAGAAAAATGTGCTTCTGGAGCATTTAGATAAATTAAAGATGTGACTGCTTATAATGCATTTTTTTTACAAAAATATATTCTGTCGCGGACTTGGTTTCTATGACCAACTTAACCACAAGAATTACACGTAGGTTTTTTACGTAAGTATAGGTGACCTCGAGACCACTGCAACTAGGCTGACACCGCTATTAAGTGTTGGTAGGAGTTGCGAAATATTTTCCAAAGGATTGTGTGATGCCCTCTGGTCAAGTTTAATTCAAAGTATAATAAGTCTTGGTAATCACATGGCACAAATTGTCTCGTTTTTGCAAACATATATTTTTGTCTGTCGAGAGAAAGCCTATGTGGTTGGATAAATTTAGGCATTTAATTACCGAATGTTTCTCTAAAGATAATGTGCTGGAGACAAATATCAGCATCGACAGACTTTCTGCATGCTACTTGACCTATTGAAGCTGAGGCAGTTTTAAAAATACTATATGTGAGCAAAATAAGTACAGTGGTGGATTTTTGTGTTTTGAAAAAGTTTACCTAGTCGTTAACATTTACCACGTCGCCAGACTCATTTCCAACCAATACAGCAGTAATTGAATTGGCTTTTTACATGTAGTTTATTGACATCCGAAGCAGGTCAGGTGCAAATTTGGTGTGGCCTATAGGTACAAACGGTAACAGAAAACGTTTATGTATCCCTGTCGCCATAGCGCGTATTGTGTGACAATTGTTTTTATTTTGGACCTGCGCAGTTCTCGGCGTGGCAAATCACTTTTAGTCTCTCCTAGTGCAAAATTTTCGGAAAAATTGTGAAGGTAAGAAATAACTACGTTCGCTCCTTTACCTGCACATGACTCTGGAATGACATAAAGTACAAATTTGTGAATTTGTTCTCTAGCAATACCAAAAAGACCATTCTTATAACCTGTCAGAAAGTACAACGGGCCGACTTGTTGGGAATTGTGTGGTAAATGCACTTGTTTTACAAAATCAAATGGTACGGTACATGAGGACTGTATTGACAACAGATGGAGCTATTTCAGATATAGGGTTGGTGTAATAAATGCTTTCAGCCTGAACATTATTAAGACGGTTGAGTGATTCATTAAGAATCTTAGTCTTAGTTTTTTAATTCATTGAAGTCATTTTGCTTATCATAGTAACATTCTTTAGACAAACATGTCACAGATCAGTACGCGGTTTATATACGGTATATTTATATAACATAATAATATAACATACAACACTCGCGCCTGTAACCCAGAGGGGTAAGCAGAGATTACAGACTTCCATTTAGCACGATCTTGACATACCTCTCTCACCTCCTTCACCTTCACATACCTACGCATACATGCTCGTCGGTTAAGGGTACTCTTATTTAGCCCATTTTTAATATATCGCCAATTTGGTCGACAACTTTCGCCTAGGACGTCCATTTCCCAATCTTCCATTCACTTCTGCAACATATATTTCCTTTGTCAGTCTTTCCGCATTCATTCTTTCTACATGACCAAACCACCGAAGCATTCCTTTCTTAATCCAGGTCACCGCATCATCTTGCAAGCCACACTCTTCTTTTATCAAACAGCGCAACATGTTGTTGCGCATACGCGGTTTCTGTATTACATTATTTGGGCAAAAATTCTTTCTACATTTCACACCACGAGCTCCGACCTACAGCATCTGTTCCATTTTTTCCGCACGCTTCCATACATTTGTCGTAGACATATAGTTTTCACACACTACTAGGAAAAATGTGTAAATTAGTATCACGATAATGTGCCATTCGACAAGTCAAAGCGAGAGAATTTTGCAAAGAAAAGTTTTTTTTTAAGTAACAGCGAACATAAGTTGTTCTAGCAGTGGTTCTGATTTGAGATTGGTTTTGCTTGACTTGTATGCATTAATTTCGATCCCATTTTTCTAATTTGCTCTAAAACTTTTCGGAACTTCTTCATGCCTACCCCGTTAACAGAAAGAAAAAAATCTACATGCTATAACACCTCGAAATTTGTAATCGATTCTGCTTCTATTCCTTTTTTTTATTTGTGTGCTCTATTATAAGTTCGAGCATTACAATTAATCAAACATTTTAAGGCCCCTATTACCAAGACATTTTTATGATTGATATGTTTACCACAGTAAATATTTAAGCTTTGGGAATCTAATCTATTATCTAGTATTTCGTCACTAGAATAGTCTCACACATTGTTTTTCAGAACCACAACCTTTCTTTAAAAAAATATCTTCATTGAAACATTCATACTATTTTTTCAAGAAAATCTTTTTCACACAAATCTTCTTCAAATAGATTTCTTTCTGTAACTGTTTGTTCAAAAGTGTTTTCGAAAACAGGATTAGTTGACTCCAAGTCATAATGATCTTTTTCATAGTTATCGTCATTCTCATCGTAATTATATTCTCGTAGAAATAACTCAAATTCAGCAGCATATTCATCATTTGTGGGACGCACTCTAGAAAGAAGTTTCTATTTCAGACTCACTCATAATACAATATTTTTTATAGACTAATATTCCTTGCTTACATGACAATCGTTACTTTTTCGGCAGTTTGCTTAATTCGATTGCCACCATAATTTCAAAATAAGTAATTAGCACCTTGATCAAGTTCCTTTCGCGGGAACTGCAAAATTCTGATTTTAATTTACATTGTGTGGGTTGATCTGCAAAAATTAATTTGTTCTTTGACGATATTATTCGCAGTAAAATTTTTTTTGGATACCAAAAGCTTATAATAATTATGAAACATACATGTTCCAGTTGAAGGTGTAGTTTTCTGTGATGGTTTAACATGTTCTTCGTTGGAATCCATATAATAGCATCATCTGGATCTTGATGTGTGTTCGGAATGGTCAATTTCTGTGTCTTGGTCGCAATAGTAACGTGGGTTTATTGTGCAAGTCATTTTGCGTATCATTTTCAGCGACATTGTATATTGCATAATATATAAAATAATATTTATATATATATATATATAATTATTCATAAAAATACTCAGAATCAAAAAAAACACCGAAAACAAGTTACAAATATATGTTTCGTGTGGGAATCGAACCAGCGATCTACGAATAACAGGCATGTTCACTACGAAATGAGCTATCCTGCCACCGTTAAAATATTTAAGTCAGAAATATTAAAAGCAGAATAAAAAGAAATTTATGACATTTGTCGCCGCGAAACAAATTCTACGCGAGCAAAGCAGCGGCCGCAGTAGCTAGTACTCATTAATTCGGCCTTGTTCTGTTAAGACTTACTTAAAATTGACTTTGACTGAGTTTCTAAAATTTTTTCTTCCATAGAAACGGAAACAGAAACAGAAACTTTTTTATTCAATGTAGATTATTATAAACTTTTTTATACAATACTTATTGAAAGTCACTTTTTTCATTTACCACTGGTTCGCAAAAAAAAAACCTCTGTCCTGGGAAGATCCAGCAAGAAACCCAGCGGGACTAGTTTCTTAGCCTCTTGTGTTACAATTAGCAACACAAGACAAATTAGAAATAGCTTGGTAGCGATCACCCTTCCCAGGAGTTATTATCATCCATAAATACCTTAATATTATAATAACCCTTTTTATACAAACTTAATTTAATAACATTTTTGAACTTTGTGTATGACTTTGTGTACGAAAATGTCTTGTGATTCCGTTTTAGGCAAATAACAATCTGCAATGAAAAAAAAATATATTAAGTGGATGGTTATCCTACTAAGCTACAAACAATTGAGTACTTACTATTACAACCGCTCGCAGCCCATAGTTGCACATAAACTACCACCCCACCATGACTGTGTTACATACCTATTCTTGTAAAAATAATTACCTAGGTATAAGTAGGTAGGTAGCATTTAATCGTTGCCTGGAGTTAGGTTATTACAATAAATAAATAAAAATTAAATAAAAAATTATTTTCGGTTTTTACTTTAGTTTGAACAAGTCTTTATAAATTAGGTATCACTAAACTGAATTTTCAACAAACAACAATAACAAAGATTCCAAATCAAACCCTTAGCATAAATTTTTGGTACTCACCTACTTACAGAACTTAATAAAACAGCACTAAGTTACCTATTCTTAATAATTAGGATTATTTTTAGTTAAAAATACGACGACCATAACTACCTACAAGTAGGTAGGTAGATATTAAAGTACAAATAGACTAATAGACTAACTGACATGTAGGTACTTAGGAAAATGTCTGTTAAATTATATGCAAATTCTAGTAGATAATTAATACTCACGTTCTATAAAGGGATAATCCTTTTAATCGCTTTTCATTATCACAATGTTAAAAACACTGCACTGCACTGCACTGAAACTGTCTGACAAAGATTACACTCTCAACTCAACTGAACAAATGGACGATACACAGCGAAATGGCGACCAAACATAACATAGGAGCTAGGCGGTAGGCGCTAGTGGCACAGATACAGTCACAACTGACACGGCGCTGATGATTGTGCGAAAAGGGCGGTAGATGTTAAAACCCAAAGCAAAACGTGTTAAAATATTTTTACAGTTAAATTATTTTTAAATTTATTGAGACAGAATACCAGCGTAAAATAGCAGCTTAATGCTAAAAGTTTCGTATGGCGAGTGTAGAGATTCGAAGACCCTTTTTACTAGAAACGAGTTATTCTATCATAATCATCTACAATCCCTGTGTGTGTGTGTTTTTTTAAGGATAGGGTGACAAACGAGCACACAGTCCACCTGGTAAGCGGTTGCTGTGGTCCATAAACATCTACATCTATCCTCGATTACGAATCAAAATGCAGATGCGTTGTCACCCGTGAGGACTAAGATGGAATGCCTCGTTTCCAGTAAAAAGGTTCTCCGGTTCTCTACACTCACCATATGAAACACAGCAGCATTAAGCTACTATTTTACGCTGGTATTCTGTGAGAGCGTGGTCCTTCCCCGGTCGAGCCGACCCATTCGTGCTAAAACTATACTACTAATAATTGTAAACGTCTATGGGGTCATAACTTACAATCAGATGGACTGTGTTCGTCTGATACCCTATGCTATAAAAAATTGTAAAAGAATAACTTTTGTATTTTCGGTAGATTAATAGCACGTTACGGGTCGCACAAATATAAGCTAGGGGTCGCACTTTGGACAGCCCCGCTTGAACAGTAAAAATCGGGGTATGGCTGCGTTGTGGACATGGCCGAAATTATGTGACGCAGCGAAACGACCTCAAAATGGCGGCGCTTCCCCTCCGCCGCACTTAATGCGTCACAGACAGTCCACACTCAACGTAACGAACTCTTTGATCCTTTACACATCGAAAGGTGTAATTAAATTTTGTATATAAATGACAGAAATATAAGCTATATTTCACGAAACTGTATTCCCCGATTCTGTTATCATTAATTTTCTTGACCTGCCACTATGACACAGACGAGACAAATGTAAGGACGAATTCAAGTTAAAACTTACTTCAGCAGAGCGTCAGATAATGCTTTGTGCTCTTTAGCATGAGTGCGTAGTATGGCCTTCGCTCGCTCGTAACTCTCCGCCAGTATTTTCTTAATTTCACTGTCCACCTGGAATTTAAAACAAAAACATGTCTGGTGCATTCATAGAATGTATTTCCCGCCGAATTATGCACTGTAACCACTTTCAAACACTGTTGCAAGCTGTACACTACATAATAAATTATAGTGTTGCAAAAGTAAAATATTTTTAAGTCGGAATTGGCTTCTACAAACACTTTTTGAAAGATAAACACTACGTCGTCGCTTTAACAAGTCTCTACTGCGGGGAGAACCTTGTGAGAAGAAGCGGCAAGAAACTCATTTTCTCCCAGTACTTACAATTTAAGGTGAACCCACACTTATCCGAGCTGAACGAATCGACCGCGCCAAAAAAATAGTTTCCATTTCCTTTATATCTGTCGCATATAATTACATGTGAAGTGTGATGGATCTTGACGAGGTCTTTACTGTCAGTGCTTTATTATTTAAATTAAATTGTATTTTTTTTAAATGAAAAAGTAGTACTCGCACGTTCATCAGTTGCACGCAACTCTCAGAAAGCGAGCGCATCGGTCGATTCGATGGCAACGCATCGCCCGCGCCGAATCTGATGACGTCATCCCATTTAGTCTATGATTACTGGGGTTCTTCCAGATTCGGACGATTCGCCGCGGAGGTGTGCGAGATTTCATATAATTTCATATATAGAATTTTGAATTCGTTTCGATTGACGCGTTTGGGTCGGATATGTGCGTTCCTGTTGTTTGTGTGTTACCTTTAACCTTATAAAGTTTGTACATAAATATATGGTCTGACACAACTGGTTACTTCGCCTACGCGGATTCCAGATGTGGAGGATCATGCACCTTCCCTGTTGGACCTTCTGCTGACCTCTCACCCTGACGGATTTCAGATTTTCGTCGACGCCCCTTTAGGCTCCTCGGACCATTGTTTGGTCCGGAGTGTGGTGCCACTCACGCTGAAATCGCGGTTGCATTCTGCAGGCTGCCGCCGTGTTTGGCACTATAGGTCAGCCGATTGGGATGGGATGCGGTCTTTCTTTGCATCCTACCCTTGGGGGCGGGTTTGCTTCTCGCCGGATGATCCCAACGTTGTTGCGGATTCTGTTGCTGATGTGGTACTTCAGGGTATGGAACTTTTTATTCCTTCCTCTGTGGTGCCCATTGGAGGCAAGTCTCAGCCATGGTTTGGTCGCTCCTGTAAAATGGCATCATGCTATAAGCAGGAGTGCTACCAAGCCTGGGCTGATGCATCAGCGTCCCGGGATGTAAACACCAGCGCTCTAAAAAAGAAGTATAATTCCGCCTCTAGGTCCTTCAAAAGAGTCATTGCCAATAAAGTCAGAGCACATAGGCAGAATTGGCGAGAAACTAGTTCGCCTTCCTTCTGGAACCCGTGCATTCTGGTCTCTCGCCAAGGCTGTCCAGGGGAATTTCTGTCAGCCATCTCTTCCATCTCTGCACAGGGAGGACGACTCACTGGCCCATACCGCAAAGGAGAAAGCCGATCTTCTAGGCTCTTTCTTTGCGTCTAACTCGACTCTCGATGACGGGGGGAGTACTCCGCCGACCATCCCGCGGTGTGAGTGCTCCATGCCGGAAGTGCACTTCACACAGCGCTCGGTTCGCAAAGTACTCCTCCCCCTGACCCTCCACAAGTCGAGTGGGCCTGCCGGAATCCCCCCAATTGTGCTGAGGACGTGTGCTCCAGAGTTGGCACCGGTTTTAACGCGTCTTTTCCGGTACTCCTACTCCCTAGGCGTAGTCCCAAAATCATGGAAGACGGCTTACGTCCACCCGATCCCTAAAAAAGGCGACCGCTCTGGCCCGTCCAACTATCGGCCAATCGCCATTACCTCCTTGTTCTCCAAAACAATGGAGTCCATTGTAAACTGCCAGCTCATGAGGTACCTTGAAGATCACCAGCTGATTAGTGACCGCCAATACGGTTTTCGCCGTGGTCGGTCAGCTGGTGATCTTCTGGTCTACCTAACTCACAGATGGGCGGAGGCAGTAGAGTTCAAGGGGGAGGCATTGGCCGTTAGTTTGGACATTGCGAAGGCCTTCGATCGGGTTTGGCACAAAGCGCTTCTTTCGAAGCTCCCTTCCTATGGGCTTCCCGAGAAATTGTGCGATTGGATCACCAGTTTTCTTGCAGATCGGAGCATCAAGGTCGTTGTAGACGGTGCAAGCTCCGATTGCAAGCCTATTAATGCTGGTGTTCCACAGGGCTGCGTGCTATCGCCAACGCTGTTTCTTCTGCATATCAATGACATGTTGCATACCCGTAACATTCATTGCTATGCAGATGACAGCACTGGTGATGCTCTTTACACCGGCCGAGCCAATATTTCTCGGGAAAACGTCTCCGAGTGCCGGGACAAACTTGTGTCTGAAGTCGAGTCTCTGCTGGACAGAGTCTCGGATTGGGGGCGACTAAATCTAGTCCAGTTTAACCCCCAGAAGACACAAGTTTGCGCGTTAACCGCTAAAAAGAACCCCTTTGTCGCATCCCCTCAGTTTCAAGGCACTCCCCTTGTTGCCTCAGCCAGTATCGGAATCCTCGGCGTCGACATATCGAGTGACGTCACGTTTCGTGGTCACTTGGAAGGGAAGGCCAAATTGGCCTCTAAAAAGCTTGGCGTGCTCAGCAGAGCGGGACAGTATTTCATGCCGGCACACCGCCTGCAACTTTACAAGGCGCAGGTTCGGCCGCACATGGAATACTGTTCCCATCTCTGGGCTGGGGCTCCCCAGTACCAGCTTCTTCCACTTGACCGCATCCAGCGCAGAGCGGCTCGAATCGTCGACGACCGAGTGCTTTCCGATCGGCTCGATTCACTGGCGCTGCGAAGAGATGTTGCATCTCTTTGCGTATTTTATCGCATCTATCACGGGGAGTGCTCTGAGGAATTGTTCGGATTAATCCCAGCCGCCAAATTTCGTGAACGCACTACACGTCAAACGTCCCGATACCATCCACACCATCTGGATGCTTGGCGGTCCACCACTGTACGTTTCACAAGGAGTTTTCTTCCACGTACAACCTCTCTGTGGAATAGTTTACCACCGGCGATTTTTCCGGACCGATACGACCTGGGGACCTTCAAGAAAAGAGCTTACTCCTTTCTAAAGGGCCGGCAACGCACCCGCAATTCTCCTGGTGTTGCGGTTGATCGGGCGGCGGTAGTCACTTAACATCAGGTGAGCCGCATGCTCATTTGCCACTTCTTCTATAAAAAAAAATAACAGAGAAGTCATCTTAAGGAAGGTCATTATATCCACGCATTCTTATTATTTTTTTTTTGATAATATATAAATAATCTAATTAAGTATATAATTTCTTCATCAGAACACTTTTTACAGGAGGCAATCAGTAATACTACTATTTTACAGGGAATCGTTATAAATAGTTTTTACTAGTAATACATCTTCTCAAAAATTGAGCTGCTAGTTTTATGGAGTTTGTGCTTTGGAACAGCAAAAACTTGTTCCACTAAATGGAGAAATATTAGGGTTTAGCTAAGATGATTTTCCACTAAATGGAGTGACATCCTAGTAAAAGATGCAGAAAGTGGAAGGATGCATGTAGCTTTAGGACTGTACTTTGTAGCATTCCCTGTAACTTACGCTTCCCGTATGTTCACAAGCAAAGTGTGATGAGCTGTAGTGACGATGATGAAATACTATGATGTTCATCAAATAAAGAGTGCGTACCATCTCGTTGGTGGCGGGGCCGAGCGTCTCGGACTGGGCGAGCGGCCCACGCGTGGGCTCCATGGTGCGCAGGCCCACCTTGTCGCTCATGCCCCATTCACGCACCATGTGGCACGCGATCGACGTCGCCTGCTTCAGGTCCGACGATGCGCCTGGAAACAACACGTATAATCAATACTTATACATTATATTGATATACACGTTTAATTTGCAATATACGACCAAATTTTCAGAGGAAGTTCAAAATAGCGAACGGTGAAAAAAATAAGAAAAGAACTCAAACGTTTTTCCTTTTTATCTTTTATAATAAAATTTTTGGACATGCATTATTTTAACTAACGCTTACTATTTTATCACGAACTCACACACTCGAGGAAGTGTTGAAGCCCTTAAATAAAACTATTATTTACGGATTTTATCGCGTTTAATTACTTTAATTTATTTTTATTATTATCCCGACGTTTCGGGTGCTTTACAGCACCCATGGTCACGGGGGGGACTGAGATGTTTGACGTCCCAATGTCATTGTTAGCTCGGCTACCTTCAGTTTTTGAATATCAATTTTTGGTCCGTTTTACGCAAAACGAACTTACAGTATCTTGAAGTGATGGTATGCTTGGGTTTGGGTTTAATTTTGTTAATTATAGGATCCCAAGCAGATGGCAGCACCCAACCATCTTCTCTATTGAAATTAGGATGTTTTTTAATTTCAATAGCCTCACGTATCATCCTTGGTAGGAATCGGTGTTCTTTTGAGAGGACTTGTGGTTTATCAAATCTGATGTAATGGTGGGGACGATCCTGAACATGTTAACAGACTGCAACTTCCCGGAGCGTCGGTGCTTCACGTCACCCTGCACCGACGCTCCTGACCACGCATTCTGAATTTAAAAGATAAAAACGGCATAATGTTGGAATTTTTTTTCACCGTTTGCCTATATTACTTATTTTGAACCCCCTCTGCAAATTTAGGCATAGGTTGCAAAATATCATCAGTAATTCAACGTCCGCAACGTCGGGCATAATAATAAAATTTTGTTTAATAATGATGTTTATTTCATTTGCTATCACAAGTTTACAATGCCTTATACATATATAATACTAATTGAGGCATAGCCATTTTAATTTGTTAGTATTAGGAAAGACATGTATGACTAATCACCGGACTCTCGTTCTTAATGCAACATTTCGTCGCCTCAGTGCTTGTTTGGCCAACAGACCAATTTGGACGAAAATGACCTTTGAATGTAGTATGCTTAGGAATCAAATTGTACACAATCTAAATCAAGAATGACTCGTGTAACTATACCAATAAACGAGTAAAAGACTATATTAAAAAACCAATATCCACAGTTACAATTTTAATTTTCGTGTTTGTATGGCTTACCACCACAAATGAACCAACATTCCAATAGCGGAATTTCCAGCGCGTGCTTGTTTTCCGTATATCCTCAAATTAACCAACACAGGCCTGCTCGCTCATGACGTCACACCTCGCTGTTCCGCCATATTGTTGAGTTACAATATATCGCGACGAAAACGGTGTCAGAACTGCAAGATTTTTTAAGTTTTTCAGTGAATTTACAAGTGAAACGAGGTGAAAAGTGTTTCCATAACTTTGAAAGTTATTTCCTGGACCAGTTGTGATAAACAGTATAACCACAATACTGCATACTACGAAATGTAAGTTGATTTTAGTCATTGCGGTATTATTTTAGGTCACGTTGAGTCTGTAATACAGGGGGTTAGAATATATTTTGTCATTCTGTCATACTCACAACGCTGAAGAGTTTGTTTGTTTTTTCAAACGGACGAATCTCTGGGCCGGCTGGACCGATTTAGACGAGATTTTCACTTAAAGATAGTTAATTTGATACTAAGTAATTTGGGATATCCTTTCTCAGTGGATATTTTTACTTTTCATATGGGAACGGGAACTACGCGTTTGTTTGTTTGTTCTGTTCGCTTGTTTAGTTTATTTATTTGCTATGTATGCGTTTGAAGGCGTTATTAAGTTATTCAAGGTTGGAAGGGGTTTGAGGGATTTTTAGGGGCTTTTAATATGTTTAACTGAGTCTATAAATGTACTTAGGTACTAATAATAAATGCGAAAGTGAGTTCGTTTGAATGTTTGTTAAACTTTCATGCCTAAATCACTGAACCAATTTTGATGAAATTTGGTACACAGATAGATGAAACTCTGAAGAACATAGGCTACTTTTTATTCCAGTGTTCCGGGAACGGAACTTATGCGGGCGAAACTGTGGGGTACAACTAGTAATACAAAAAAATACGAATACAAAATAACTTATTCGACAAAGAAATCACAATAACATGATAGAATTACTTATGGCCCCGACACTAGGAAACCAAGATACCTGAGGATCACTTGTAAACGAAAAATACGCATCGAATACATAGTCTCATCCTTTTTGGAAGTCGGTTAAAAATAAAAAGAAGCGTAGGTTTATAATCGAAAAAGTATAGGTTGATAAAATATAAAGTACTAGTTTCGCCTCGCAGTTTCACGATAAAAAAGTTACCTGTATTATCCAGGATATAAGCCATCCGGGTGCAAAGTAACATCCAAATCTGTTCAGTAATTTTTGCGTGAAAAAGTAACAAACATCCATCTATCTATCTCCACAAACTTTCACATTTATAATATTAGTGGAGTAAAAATAACTATTTGAAGAAGCTTAAAATGTTACCTAAACTATAATATAAATTGTAAATAAATAAAACTAAAAATTTATTTTATAAGGGTTGACAGAGTGAAGAAAAAGTTATTCATGGCCTGTAAAGAAACCGAAAACGTTGAAGAAGGTAATGAATTACTTACCGTGGACTGCGCAAAAAATATCATTGCTTGCAGCAACGGCAGCGGACACGCTCTAAATTATGAAGAAGAAGGCGAACAAACATTCACCGAAAAATGCGCTATAACGCCAGTAAAAAATTACATAGTTTGCCCTGGTAGTTCAGAACTAAAACTAGAAATATCTATCATATTGTTTAACAGTAATGCTAATGACGCTGCGAATGTTGTAGAACAAAAATCCTCAAGAAAGAGAAAAAGGTGCCCTGAAAATTGGCAGAGAATTGCAAGGGGAAAAAGGAGAAGCTGGTGAATAATATGTAAATATCAAAGGGAAAAATGTCCAGCAAAACAGGTTCACGCTGGATGTAACGAAAAGTTGAAAATTCGTTAAACGATACCCAGATTAACAAATGTTACAACGAATTAACATATAGGGTACGGTAATAAAAGAAAAGAACAGAAGCAGAAGAAAGTTCTCATTTCAGTACTTCTTCTTTGAAAAATGAGCAAAAAGTGAAGGTGTGTCAGAAGTTTTTTGGTGGTACTTTGGATATATCGGCTAAAAGAATTTATTATTTCTACAAAAAACTTTACAACAACAAATTGAAATTGATTCCCACACCCTTTAAAGGAAAACACATAAAAAATCAGACCGCCGAAAGCAAAATAGAAGAAGTGATTCAGCACATAAGGTCCTTTCCCACACAAAAATCACATTTTTATCAAGCTAACACAAAACGACAGTACCTTTCGTTAAAATTATACGCGAGTGAAACCGCAGGGCACCGGTAGTATATAATTATAAATTCAACATTTAATATTAATTCAGGCCTGTTAGATAAGATCAGTAGTCAAGAGATTCAAAAACAATTTATAATTCATTTATTATTTTTATTAAAATATACAATAATGATGCGCAGTGGATCGGTTTAATTTCACAGCCTGTATTGTGAAATAAGGCTATAGGGCAAACAAGCACAGAATACTTTTGGTTGCTATTTGGCTAACATCCCACGGAATGTAGTGTATATCCATTAACGTAATTATGGTTTCGTTTTTTTGTCGAATATCCATTTTTAAACCGGTTTTACATAATGTTAAGTCAAAAGTTTTTACTTTTTTACAGATTATTAGAAGTCCAAATGTGCCATAGTTTTGGAAACTACCGTACATTACGGCTTTAGTACGGCTGAGTCATAGCATAGAAAAACAAAAAAAACATTGCTCCTGTAAAATTACTCAAATGGTCTATTGGCCTAACAAACACTGAGGCGATGATTTATCAATATACCTTTAGACCCGCCACGTACATACGTAATTCCGTTTCGAGATTGCGTTTCGGAATTCCGATTCGGGATTCCGAACCCAGCAAGTCCTTATAAAATAAATGACCCGCCACACACTTACGGTATTTTTCCGTACGGAATTTTCTCCGATTCAAGATTCTGTATGACCGCCTGTGAGTTCGGTGTACGGAACGCGCCCAGTGTGATCACACAACCGAAGCGAATTGGTGATCTAGTACATGGAGAATTATACTTTTCATCATAAAAAATACTTGTTGCGTCCCGCATAGTAAACGCAAACGTATTAATTTCTTATTACATACATAGTTTTACAAAGACTGATATAGGACTCTAGTGGGAGAAAAATATAGCAGTTCAGTTCAAAGGAAGTTCTTTGTCAGTTTCCTTTTTTTGTCAATTTGTCACACAATGTCATTTAATTGAGAAGATAGTTTTAAATAGTTTTTAGAATATTATATTAATAAACAAAACAATAACTCAGTGGTTTGGTTTATTTATTTTTAATGTAATTAATATAAAATATAACTAATAGTACAAAAACAAAAATTGTCCTTTACATTTTTCAAAGAAATTAACTTCCCCGCTATGAAATTTGTCAAATATTACACTTCATTTTTAAATGGCGCCGCCCTGGAGGCAGTAAAAGTCGTGGATTGGGTCATTTCCATAATAAGACCTAAGCATCATAGGCTTAACGCTCAACATAATTCTGTCACTCCTGTTACTGTTCCATCTAGCTCATTATTAAGAAATGATGAAAGAAATATAATAATTTGTCGAAAAAGTTTATGGACATCCAATAGTATTTAAAAAAATTGGGTAGGCTCGTAATTTGGCTCTCTTTTACATAATACTGGCTATCTTGTAATCTTAGGGTGTTAAGGGGGATGCGCCCAGCAACGGTGGCAATATGTTTTCTTCTTGACTGGATACGGCAACGATGTGATCGCAATATCGTCGTACATATTCATTGGCTGAATATCTGTACTCAATGGCTGGCATCACTCAACTGAGCGTTGTTATTCCGAACGGAAAAAACGTATGTGTTTGATATATGTACGGAATCTCGAATCGGAATTCCAAAACGGAATCTTGAAACGAGATTCCGTATGTATGTGACTGGCCTTAACTTTAGTGCACTTCATACGACAGTATGATTTAAATTATTATTTTAGTAATTAAAGTTACAATAAAAGAAAAACGAATCAACACGTGAGAGCGTGTACGTGTTATTGTTTGTGTGTATATGCGTGTGTTTGTGTGTATGTGCGTGTGTGTGTGTGTGTGTGAGTGTGTGTGTGTGTGTGTGTGTGTGTGTGTGTGTGTGTGTGTGTGTGTGTGTGTGTGTGTGTGGGCGCGTGTGCGTGTGCGTGTGTGCGTGTGCGTGTGTGTGTGTGTGTGTGTGGGCCGCGTGTGCGTGTGCGTGTGTGCGCGTGCGTGGGTGTGTGTGCAAGCATGTTGTGCGTTTTAAATAATGGGAGTTATCAGAGTATGAAGTTTAAATTATCCCTTAGATTAAATTACGTTTTATTCAAACAATGTAGGCTAGTTTTAGTGCTCGACCGACCGTCAGTGCGTACCATCGTTCCTGCCGATACGCATAACCGATCCTCAGTTTGTAATGTTCAGTGCTCTTCTAACCAACCAAACTGGCCGGATTGGTACAGTCACAAACACGGACACGAAATGGACGCGTTTACAAATTGTTTAATTGCTGCTTACTATGTTCGTAAACGTACAATGAACAACAGACATAGATATCACGTATACCCAATCGTCGCTCAAAGAGCACTTCAAGAGGAATTTATTATTAATATTTGAATTTAATTAATATTCATTATTGCGCGAAGTTTAACACGTGGCCCTTTGTCCCACTGAATTTCACGAAGACGAACTTCTATAATTAGGCGTTCGGTGTCGATATATTCCATGTTTGATCAAAATTATTTAAATCACTAAAAGGTAACAATACCTATAAAATAAAACAATATTATTGAAGTTTGGAACTAGTAGGTTTAACTTTTTTGACGATGATACGCGCATCCGTACGGTCGGTCCACCGATCGGTGTAGCACTGAACGCATTAATATGTTTTCATAGCGCGGCGGTCGTCGACCGACGGCACGCGTGCGGACGCGCTTGACTGACGGTCCTCGAACGCAGTGCGTAGTGGGAAGGTGGCAAAGTGTATCATTTTTGCGATTGGAACATTTGCATCTCGATCACTCAAATGTTCCGAAACAATGATATGTTTCATTTAGATCATCGACTCAAAAGCTATAAAATACAGGATCGCGGGCATTTATTACTGTGTCAGTGAAATGTTATGTGGCAATAATGCTTAATGAAATAAGTACTTAGGTTATTTCTTGTGTAACGCGATAAGATTATATATGAAATCAATTCTCCATTATACTTTATTCAGGCGTAGGACTGGTGACTTGTTCTTAATTTATAGCCAGCTGGCGTATGTAAAAATCGAATCTATTTAAAGTGATTTATTGATTATATTTGCAGTCTTTTTTTGGTTTTACTTAAAATTGTAATTTTAACAGAACTCCATGTTTTCGTAAACAGGCGCGAACGAACATAAACAAGTGCCGCATCAACGTAAAATTGACAATTTGTTAATGGAAACATTACATGCAAAAACGACCGTATAGTATTCGATACGTAAGCGCCTTAGTAGTCATTTTTACATGCATGAATAACGACAGCGAAAATCCGTACTAGTTGAGTGATACACTTCTCATTTGTTATCTCTTTTTGAATTGTATAGATTATAATCATTTCGCCCGCTCACTCGCCACTCGCGAGTCAATTGTTAAGTTAATCAATGTCTTAGTCTGCCTCTCTCGCTCGTGGCTCAGTCGCCTCACGAGCGACGCGTCGTGCGAAATGAGCACAGAGTCAAAAGTAATGTCTCAGATCCAAATGATGCATTTAAAACTGAACTAAACTTTTGAATAACTTGAGTGATTAGGATCAGCGAGTCGGTTCCGTAAAGAGTTCCACACGCCTAGTGCGTAGCAATATACGCGTGCATACGATCGGTCGAGCACTGTCACGACTTGTGAATATTCATACAAATGAAAAGCGCGACCGACGTACGCACCGAGGGTCATGTGTTCGTAGTGTTCGCGTAAATATAATTATAATTTAATTTAAAAACATTTTATAAAGAAAAAAATCGCGTTTCATGTAACTTGTTTTGTGGCAAAAAATTTGTTTTGTGTGGTACTGACGTAAATTCAGTTATTACTGGCCATATTGACTCCATTGTTATTAGAAAAAATTATAGGACGGCTCCGCTGCGTAGTGGCCTAGCTTGATTCGCGAAGCTAGGGCGCGGTTTTAAATCCCGCACGGAACAAGTATTTGTACGGCCTACATATAATTGTTTATTTTGATGTTTGTCCTTGTGCAATGTATATGTTTAAACTGCCTCCACAATAAAAAAGAAAATTCTGGTGTGTAGTAGTGTGTAACGTTAATAAAAACAGAAAAAAGAATATTAGGGGAATAACTTTCCCACCTGATGTGATTTTTTCAGGTCCAAACACCAGCTCCTCAGCAGCCCGACCACCCATCATGGTGTCCATCATGGCCAGCAGCTGTTGTTTCGTAACGTGGTATCTGTAATTAATATAGTAGGGTTATATTTATACTTAACATAACAAAACAGTGTGTGATGCCAGTGATGACATCACTCAACAAAAAATATTTTTTTTTTTGTTTCCGTGAGTGATGTCTATTACATATAATTATAAGAAATAAGTCGGCCACATTGCTAAAAAACCGACAACAGTTATGTAAAAATGGTTCTGTAGTGTGAAAGAATAAAGGAAGAAGATATTTATAGCTTATATTTACAAACTATTACAAAAAATACTTACGAAAATATTGAAAAAAAATCATATATCAGCGATAAAAAAGCCACCAACTCAGCGTAATGCTACAGTACCCACTCATAAGTCGACTCGCGAGCAATCGCTGGACATAATTTATTATATGTATATTTTATTACAACACTAAGTACTTATAAAAAGTTCACATCAAATCTTTCTGTATTTAACAAAGTAACACACAGTGTATTGCCAATAGAACCGAAACACTCCTTAAAAATTAGAGTCACGCTGCAGCTATATTATGGTTGTAGCACGAATGGTGCGGTTGGACCGGGGAGGAACCAACCTCTCACAGAATACCAAAGTGAAGAAGCAGCATAATTCTTAATAAAGTATTTATTTTTCTTGTATAATGAGTGACGAGACGCAAAGACCCTATTTACCGGTAATGAGACATTCCATTCAAGTCCTCAAGGGTGACAACATATGTGCATTTTAATTCTTAATCAGGGATAGATGCAGATAGCTATACAACACTAGGTGGTTCCGTTTTTGCCTAGAATTCAGTATGCTCGGGTTCCACCCCTTACCTATTTCTGCCAAACATCAAAGCATGCACTGCGTTTCGGTCTGAAGGATATAGAGAGCCGGTATAATTATAGGCTACAAGGCTTTAGGTAGCTTTCTTTGTTTGAAGTAGGCGGTTCTTGGAGAAGGCCTCAGCTTCAGTTCAGCAGTAAATTTAAAACAGCTGTAATGTAAATATACAGGATGTAATATATATGTAATAAATTGAATAAAACTAAATTTACGGATTTTATCGCGTTTATTTCACTACTTTTACTTATTTTTAATTCCCGACGTTTCGGGTGCTTTACAGCAACCATGGTCACAGGGGGGACTGAGATGTTTGACGTCCTAATGTCATAGTTAGTCCGGCTACCTTCAGTTTTTGAATATTAAATTTTGGTCCGATTTACGCAAAACGAACTTATAGTATCATGAAGTCTTGCAGTGGTATGTAGCTGACGTGAAGCACCGACGCTCCGGGAAGTCTGCTGTCTGCGAACATGTTCAAGATCGTCCCCACCATTACATTCGATTTGATAAACCACAAATTCTCGCAAAAGAACACCGATTCCTACCAAGGATGATACGCGAGGCTATTGAAATTAAAAAACATCCAAATTTCAATAGAGAAGATGAATGGGTGCTGCCACCTGCTTGGGATCCTATAATTAACAAAATTAAACCCAAACCTAAGCATACCACTGCAAGACTTCATGATACTATAAGTTCGTTTTGCGTAAATCGGACCAAAATTTAATATTCAAAAACTGAAGGTAGCCGGACTAACTATGACATTAGGACGTCAAACATCTCAGTCCCCCCCCGTGACCATGGTTGCTGTAAAGTACCCGAAACGTCGGGAATTAAAAATAAGTAAAAGTAGTGAAATAAACGCGATAAAATCCGTAAATTTAGTTTTATTTAATGTGTAGTGTTCGCGTAAATTTAAGAAATTATTATATATGTAATAAATACAAAAAAAGTTGTCCTGAGATGTTACTCGCTCACCTCTCTTTGGCAGGTATGTAGGCAGTGTGACCCAGCGATGGACCGCGTGGGATTATCGTCACTTTGTGTAATGGATGAGCGTCCTGAAACATGACATTATACGGCTATATTTAGACGACATATTTTTTTAAATTGATTTCCACTCTTTTATATTTTTCTACGAACATAAAATTAAAGTAGGATTAGTCAAGTTGTTATATTTCTACTGTAGTATAGTGTAGCCCTTACGACAATATATATTAGTTTTAAGGTAGAATAAAAGAGTAGTATAATTAAAGACATAGCAAGAGAAAAACGTCTCCTTTTTCATTTAACACCTTACAACATTACACTATAATATAATAGTAGTATATATACCAAACGTAGAGAAGTCTATGATTGAAGTATTGATTTTGTTTTGTTTAAAAATGATATTAAAAATATTATGTGGGTGTAACGTCAGCCGATCGTTTTTTTTTACGTATTTTCTTTATCTTACAGTTTCTTTTCAAACATATTTTTATAGAGCAAAGATACAAAAAAAAAATTGCAGTTATAAGCGATAACATCTAATCAGGATTTTTGCTGTCTTATGTACATTCCGTAAACCACATTAGGGAGACCAAATAGACAAACAAAGATCATGGCGTACCTTGGTATAATATGCGACTACGGCATGGCCACCTTCATGGCAGGCCGTGATAGCATTGGCTTCATCATCAGGAAGTCTGGCTCTCCGAGCTGGACCCATCAGTAACTTGTCCCGTGCTTCTTCTAAATGTAACATGGACACAGTCTTCGCACCTTCTATAGCTGCCCTATGTTAAGCATCTTTAATTTTACAAGTGAAAAGAAGGTAAAAGTAGTGCAACACTTGTTTGTCACTCTAACTATGAGTTTGCACTGGTTTTCGATTTTCATGTGAAATTTTTACATCATAAAGGCTGTTATGCATCATTAACGAATTAATGAAGCAATGTATATGCATGCGTGTCTACGTGTGTGCGTGAGTACAGTTGATTTTTTAATATACAGAATGACCTTTTTTACAGTCTGGAAATAAATAGGGTGTAACATGTGAACGGAGTAGAAACCTATAGCACTAATATTTTACAAAAAATAAAAACAAACATTCTGAATTAAATAAATAAATTAACTAAAATCTATCGAAATTCAAATCATATCCACCCTACTTTACGAACAGCGATATAACAATAAATTTAGTAGGCATCTTTGATCTTGTTACTTCGCAGGGTCATAGGCTTAAGGGCAAAGCCGCCCGTGCTCTCAACTCTTCAGTTAGTTTTTATGCGCTATGGCGTGACGTCGCGTCGCCGTCGTATTGTTTATGATTCCGCGTGTGTATCGTTAACCAGTACCGAACTAAAACGATTAGTGTACACAGAAGAAGCATAAAGTGTTAGTGATTATAGCAGCGTATAATAGATGCATTTAATGTAATAAAAAGTGATAGACACACGCTTCGAAGTTTAACAAACAATTTATAAAGACAATCTGGTTTGTGTTTAGCAGGAAACTGTAGACATTTTGAACAGTTACTGCGATATCGCTTGCATTAATTGGCTAGTACTGGGAGGTTTACTTACAATAAACATTTTAAGGTCATTGACATTATACGTGGAAAAACCACAAACAATTTTACGTGCTTTCCGAGGCGCTCGAGGTTGGCTCCGATAAAGCCCGTCAAAAAAAATTTTTTTTTCAAAATATTTTTATGACTTTAAATGTGATCATAAACGCACTTCTTCGAATATAATCGTTCATAACTTTTTTGCAAAGTGTTAAAAGAAGTTTGTATATTTTTATTGTTAATCTACACAAAAAAATTATGCAGTCCTTGACAGTGATTGGTTTTGAAAAAAAATCACATAATAATGTTTATTTAATTTTTTTAGCGTAGCGATCCCGGGACTTAGGGCATACCGACTCGGACAGGTTAGGTTAGAAGAAGATGGCGGGGTCGAGTGAGCAAGCGAACAGACCCCGCTATCTCCTTCGTGGCCATTTTTTTATAAACCACTCAGAAGTAGGAGCCGGAGCGGGGCTCCGTCGACCCGACTTCCCTCTGCTGCGCTACGTTGAGTGGCGTGGTGCTTCCCTCCCGTAGCGCAGTCACTCCTTTCTACATTCAGCTCCGGTGAAGCCGGTTGTGCTGATGCTGGTGCTGGATACGTACTTGAGCGCGGCCTGGTTGACCATGCTCTCGAGGTCGGCTCCGGTGAAGCCGGTGGTGCCGCGCGCGAGCGCCTCCACGTCCACGTCAGGCTGTGCCGCCACGCGCGACACGTACATCTGCAGAATCTCCACGCGCCCCGAGTAGTCGGGCGTCGGCACCGATACCTGCCGCACACGAACCAACACCCCTTCAATACTATGATGTACAACTCATACAACATATATGCATTGTTATTTTGCAATGTATGCAAAAATTTGCAGAAAAAGTTCAAAATAAGTAGGCGAATGGTGAAAAAAAATCATACATTCTGTCCTTTTATCTTTTTTAACTGTCATTCATAAATATCTAACGCCTACTATTTTACTACGGTAAGGATCGCTCGGTTACAAATTTAAGTACCTTGCCGTGGGTCTTTCCACGCCCTTCCCTTTCGTAATCGTTACACAGTGTGTACCGTGACCTCATTACATACGAGTGTGCTATTTTTAAATATTTGTAGGTAGAGTCGCTTCGTTACCAACAACGTAACGAAAATATTCAAACCACGAATACTATGGAACTAACAAATGGTTCCGTGTTACATTCAAAGCAATAAAAGTTTATATGGTGCACAAAGATTAAACGAAAGTAAGTCTTCAACAAGAAAATAACGTATACCAGTCGAGGAACAATTGTCAACTAATCAAACTACTTAAGTGCAGTAAGCGATAATTTAAATAGTAAATATGAATATCGGTGGATTACACACGAAGGCCCTTGATTATAATCTGCAATCTTACCGGAACTTTTACCGTTAGACTTCTATCTGTGGAGTGAAATAAAGATTCGTGTTTACGTCAATAAGACCCAAAATTACTATTTAATTAAAACCATTGCAACAAAATTATTTCTGCATTCACGGAAGTTAAAAATATTCAACAAGCACAGGTAATAAGAGTTAAAAAATAATTTAAAAAAACGTGCTCGTCTATGCATAGAGAAAAACGGATTTCATTTTGAGGTAACAATATTAGGGAATACTTGCGATATTTACTTGTAAATAGTTTATATCATTTTTTAAATACGCCATAGTATCGACTGTCATCGCTTACTTCGTTGATAAGCAAAACTATTTTCCTAATTTTATTTATTACTAGCGATCCGCCCCGGTTTCGAACTGTTGATTCTCGACAAGACCGCCACCTACCGGGTCCAATTGTGAATCTAAATCATCCCAGAGGCCCACTCAAACGCACACAAAAAATTCATAAAAATCTGTTGAGTCGTTTTTGAGTTTTACTGAGACTGACGGATATCAATTGAGTTTTTATAAAAAGAAAATTGGAATCATAATTCGCGTCATGTAGTTATTAACTTAAACATTAGTGAGCGTGTCACTAAGAAAGTAAACACAAAGGCAAAAACTTTGTAAATTGTATCGCACACACAAGAGCGCGCACCTTTTAACATTAGAACAACATTACCTTATTGGCACCTTTCAACATTACATGGCGACCCTACTAGGTGCGCTGCCCACAAAGCAAACGCACCAATGCGGCTTGAAAAATAGTTTTTAAGAAAAAATTGTTAACAAAAATAATTTTCTTACAATTTACCGAATAGACACGATACTTGTCATAGCTGGCAGACGGGTTGCCAACAGCAGCTGTTTGTACTTTAGTTGTTATTGTTATATCTCTTTCTCATATATTTAATCAGTGAGTAGAATATGTTATGGAAGGAAAAACTTTTGTTACTTATAACCTACATTACTTGATAAACAGTTTTGTAAAGTTATTTTGTTAGTTATGTTTATTTTTATTGAATAAGTAAATAGAATAGAATTTGTATTTTATTGTCTTCTTTATTCCGAGTTCTGGGACAACCCCAAAAAATACCCCAAATAAAAACCTTCCAAAAAAAGGAGAGAATTACAGATAGTCTGACCATAAATTAAGTCAGTTCGTCGTTCGTTCTCCGCTAGGAGTTAGGTTAGTATTTTGTGATGTTTAGCAACTAAATTGGATAACAAAAAAACATGATTTAAAACAAATCGCGAACCATAAAAAACAACAGTGCGAACGTTAACGTTGACAGATCTATAGATACACAGAATATCTATGTTATACTCAATGCGAACACAGATAACAACAAATCTTAATCTGTTAAAAATTTTACACAGTCTTTGAGTGCGAACGCGACCATTAACAAAACATGTTGTATGAATTATTTTTTGAGATTTGTTTCAAAATATTACGTTCTTGACGTTTTTCGGTGCAAAACAGGGTTTCCAGATCATTCTACTGACTGCTATTGGTTGCCATTTAAGAATCTACCATCCTTTATTTTTATTGTTTTGTTTCATAATAGATTGTCAAAATAGTTATAAATGTGGGTTGTGGGATTACATTATTATTAAATAATATTGGTTAAGTTCCACTTTGTCACTTGTTAAGCTACATATTATGTATAATATACGTATTTACGTATATTAATTTTTTTTATTGAATGAATGAAGAAAACAAGACAACTTACCTCCACATCAAAGCGACCAGGTCTTAACAAGGCCTGATCGAGATCATCTCTTCGATTTGTAGCACCGAGCACTATAACGCCTTCATTCTGATGGAATCCGTCCATCTCAGACAGAAGTTGGTTGATTGTCTGAAATCAGGAGTGTTATCAAACTTGTTACATGAGAACTATCAATATAGGTCACAAATAATTAGACTTGATGTGGATGTGTGTATAATTTGTATGCATGCCTTCTTCCGACATTTTATTATAGAATAAGGCTGACAAACGAGCACACAGTCCACCTGAAGGTGTGGATATTGTGGCTGATAGACATCTACATTTATATCACATCTCACTACACCCTCGGGATGATATGCAGTAGTATATTTTTTTATAGCAGAGGGGGCAAACGTTATAAGGCTCACCTGATGGTAAGTTATTACCGCCGTCCAAGAACACCTGCAACATCAGGGGCATTTCAAGCCTTTTAAAAAGGAGTAGGTTCTTTTTTTGAAGGTCTAAGTCGTATCGGTCCGGAAAAATCTTTGGTGGTAGTCGATTCCAAACGGAAGTTGTGCGAGGAGGAAAACTTCTTTTAAATCGCACAGTAGTGGACCGCAAGTAATCTAGATGGTATGGTTGGTATCGCGAGGTGCGATGGTGAAATTATGCGGCTGGAGATTTTCTTAGACTGCCACTACACGGTTAAACTGTGATTAAATGTATGTTAACCATTTCATTACTTAGCTAAATATATTAGTTTACTAACGCTACCTATATTTACGTAAACAAGAACGTGTGCCTATAGACATCTCAACTATAAGTAAGACTGAATTTCGTGAGAAAAAAAAACATATATAATTTAAGTCTATATTGGGCATTTTATACGTGGAAGAGAAATACTGTAATATAGTTATAGCATGAATGGGTCGGCTCGATCGGAGCAGGACTACGCCCTCACAAAAATCAGTATAAAATAGCAGCTCAATGCTGCTGTGCTTCTTATTGTAGAGAACCGTAAACCCTGTTTTTGTGGAAATGAAGCATTCCATCTTACTCCTAAGTGGTGACAACGCGTCTACATTTTGATTCTTAATTGCGATATATCCACTTACCATCAGATGGATTGTGTGCTTGTTTGTCAAGCTCATTCTATAAATAATAAACATAAATTCACTAACCTGATTTGCGTATGGATGTAAAACACTATTGGTTCTTTTGGCGCCAACCGAATCGATCTCATCAATGAAAATCACACATGGTGCTCGTTCTTTTGCCGCTTCTGCAAAATAACAAACGGCCTTACTGTTTTTTTTTTTAGTAATGAACTCGTACGGGTAAGCAAAGCGTGGGGGGGCCTCCCACTTGACGGAGTGGCGAGTGGTAAGACATGCAGGAAGTCGATGGAGTAGGTTGCTCAGAACTGTGCTGAGGCCTATTATATATATAGGAGGACGATAGTACTTCAAAAGCCTAAACACTAAACAGACACATTATCTTATGCTTCATATCACCATTGGAACACTTGTTTCAAAGGTTTCACTAATGGTTCACATGCACAGACATTCACAAAAAACCCACTTCAAATCATTTATTTAAACAATAATAAAGGAGCAACAATTCGCGCCGGTCAAGTACCCGCCAAAACCCAACTGCCTTACCTATAATCATAGAATACTATGTAGTATTCTAAGTTTGTAATCGTTGATTTTAGAGTGAAATATTCCTATACTTGTTTCTTTCTAACTTCATTTAATAAAAACTTTAGGCATAACTTAAATTGACGTAGATTTTATGAGTAAGACCGATAAGGTACATAGTATATTATGCACCATATATCCATCCATTACATTCTTTAAAACATTCATTAAAAGTCCACTGCTGAACAAAGGTCTCTCCCATAGACCGCTTCATGAGTATATTTTGCCATAGTTGCCACGCTTGACAAGCGTATTGGCAACCGCAGTTTTTAATTTCCTAGTTGTTATAAGGCGCACGCTGCTGCCCACTCCAGGTTTATTTCCCTCTGTGACCTCTAACGACACCCACGGGACGATATGTGCTAGTGGATATTCTTACACAGTCACTACAGGGTTATACACTATATTTAATTATACCATACTAGGCTGCACTAAAAGTATCGGGAATGGAATATTTCCACTGTTCCTGTCATATTAAAATCTTTTTAATTGAAAACTCCTTGGTTTTAAAAATCGAATACCATTTATTTATTTAAAAAGTTTCTCTGTCTTATCACAAGGTTTTGTCAAACTTGTTTAGTCGTTGCGAAAATGGAATTGACTCGACAAAATTCAAGAGCGATGAATTATTATGACTTTCGAAGTGGTTTAACACAAAAACAGTGTGTTGACCAGATGATTTCTGCATTTGGTTATGAAGCCCCATCTAAAACCACAATTTATCGCTGGTTTGCTGAATTTCAACGTGGACGTGTCAAGCTCAGTGATGATCCCCGTCAAGGTCGTCCAAAAACTGCAGTCACCCAAGAAAACGTTGATACTGTGCGTAAGCTGATTGAGGAAGATCGACATGTGACGTACCGCGAAATTCAGGCAACTTTAGACATTGGCATGAGTCAAATACAAATAATCTTGCATGAACAATTAGGTGTAAAAAAGTTGTTTTCCCGATAGATACCGCATTCGCTCTGTGAAGAGCAAAAAGCGGCTCGCGTTACTTGGTGCGTCAGAACTCTCGAAAGATTCCACGCAGGATCCTCAAATGTTGTATATACAACATCGTATCAGGTGACGAATCCTGGATATATGCGTACGAACCCGAAACAAAAAACTAGTCACGAGTTTGAGTTTTCGAAAATGAGTTAAAGCCAACAAAAATTGTTCGTTCACGGAGTGTTGCAAAAAAAAATGGTGGCCACGTTTGTCTCCAAAACCGGCCATGTTACGACTATTCCTCTTGAGGGACAAATAACGGTTAATGCAGAATGGTATGCTAGCATTTGTTTGACATAGGTCGTTTCTGAACTCCGTAAAGAGAACTGCAACCGCCGTATCATCCTCCATCACGACAATGCGAGTTCTCACACCGCACACAGAACAAAATTTTTTAGAGCAAGAAATCATAGAATTATCAGACCATCCGCCATACAGCCCCGACCTAAGCCCTAATGATTTCTATACTTTTCCTAAAATAAAGAATAAATTGCGTGGACAGAGATTTTCATCACCTGAAGAAGCTGTGGGTACACGGCTTTGGAGATGGAATGGTTGCTTCAATGATTGGTTCCATCGTATGGAAAAATGTGTCAAATTTCGCGGAGAATACTTCGAAAAGCAATAAATAAATTTTTAAATAGTAATGTTATGTCACTTCCTTGATTCCCGAAATTTTCAGTGCCGCCCTCGTAATGTCCTTCTTCATCACCAGCAAAAAGACTGCTGGATATGGTCTTCTCACGCTCTAGGAAGCATTAACCTTAATCACCATGTGCAAGAGGACTAAAGATTGATGTGCAGGACTGAAGATTAACGTTAAGCGGGGCACCAGGGAGTGGACAAATTGATGACTACTAAAAAATTAGACTTTTTTTTTTGAAAGTTATAATAACTTTTGTAATACTTTAAAATTTGACATGTTTTACAATATTTTTAGGTACTATGACTGCAAATTCGCAAATATCACTGTTTGTTTTTTGAATTAGCAACCTAGGTAGCATTGCTGTTTATCTCGGTTCCAAATTTAAAATATGTATAAATAAAATATACTGTTTTTCAATTAAATAATAAGTTTAGGAAAAAAATGAAATTAAGTTAATTTTTATCTTGCAATTTTAGAAAATTTTCACTTTTAATCAACTTTTACTCGTCACGGTATAAAAAAATGTATCAACACTACTATGGCAAGTTATTAAAAAGTAAGCACAACTAATCAAGTTTGTAAAATGGTATAATACACTAGTGACACTAAGCATCAAAATTATTATTTTTTCTGAACAAGAACCAAACACAATTATTAATTATTATCCTTGAAACAGCCAACTGCAGCTATATTATAGTTGTAGCACAAATGGGTCGATTAGACCTAGGATGCACCACGCTCTCACAGAACACCAGCGTAAAATAGCACCTCAATGTTGCTGTGTTTTGTATAGTGAGTGCCGATAGCTGAAGACCCTTTCTACTGGAAACAAAGCTTTCCATCTTAGTCCTCAGGGGTGACAACGCATCTGCGTTTTGATTCTTAATCGAGAATAAATGTAGATGTCTATGGGCCACAGAATCCACTTACCATCAGGTTGACTATGTAATTGTCACTCATACTACACAAAACAATAGTTTTTATTTACTATTAGCCTTGAGTAACACTTCATAAATCTATAAAAACTATCGGACTTTACGCATAAAAATCGACATCACTTTAAGAAATGCTTAAAATTGCTCTCTCTTTACTAATTGGTAATATAAATAGATACATAGATACCATTAATACTTAATCTAATTAAGGTGCCTTATCAAAGCGGATTTGAAGTGGAAGGCTTAATAGTTTGAAAATTAAGTAAGTGCCGGTTTCACAAAATTAATGTTAAAAAATATTCGAACTAGATTTGGCATGTCTCAATGACCTTGTTATGTGAGAACAGGTCAACAGGTGTAACCAACAGGCAGCTGTCATATAATGATATTATTCTAAGCACAGCTGTCAATAGAAATTATTATCTGCTCATTTACATAAATAGACTATTCGTATTAAACTAATGGACATAGCTTTCGTTTTTATTTATAAACATGACACATCAACTGGCCACAAAAACAAGACGACAAATTCATAGATAGATGCATGAGCGGGGTGCATTATTCTTCCATATTTATATTATATTTATATATTAATATATTAAAATAACATAGTTTATAAGCAATTATTATAAATTTAATTTTAGGAAAAAATTGGCATATTGGTGCTATTTTTTGAGCGTTTCGTTTTACTATGTTTAGGTTGCTGTTTGCACAATTCGGCGAGAGGATCGCAAACAAATTCCTAAAGCACGCGTTACGCTGTGCCAGCGAGTCGCAGGAAGCTTCCCAGCGGTTGGCGGCTGAAATAGCGGCCGCGGCATTACATGCGCCACGACACTGGCCGAGAGAGCGAGCGCTCGCCCTTGGTAAGGAAGTATTCCATATCAGTATTCTGGGGCAACAAATACAGCCGTATGATGGTGGCGTAAAAGAATCCATCGCTGTATTTCCAGCCGTGAGTGTCGTAGGGGACGACTATGGGTAATGCCAGATAAATCCTTTAAATTCTGCAAAAAATATATTATAGCAGAGCATGCGGCTCACCTGCTGGTAAGTGATTACCGCCGCCCCTGAACAACTGCAACACCAGGGGAATTGCAGATGCGTGTGCAAAAATCTCAGGTAAGCGGATATCAGGATTTTTGTCGATTTCAATTTCCATTAATTTGTCGATTCCAAGTTGTGCGAGGAAGAAAACTTCTTTTGAATTGGGTATTATCTCATATACTGTAATTCCCAGTCAAAAGTCCACATTTGACACTCTTGGCAGACGGGTTGGCAACTTCAGTTAGTTATGTTTTAGTTGTTTCTAGTTTTGACTCCATCTTTAGCCTCTTACGACACCTACCAGATGATATATAGAGTAGTAGCTATTCTTACACCACCACTACACGGCTTTTGCAACTGCATAGCTCTATTTGCAAAATGAATACTGATATATAGTTTATCAAACCGACTGCCTCGTTAGTCTAGTGGTCCGGGTCCGGAGGATCATGAGGTCTTGGGTTCGAATCCCGTGTTTGGCATAAATCAATTGTTGGGTTTTTTGTCAAGAAATTCTCAGTAGCAGTACGAAGTGACGACTCCGTGGCGCAGTGGCTTAACAATGCTGCGCTACGGGTCGCGGGTTCGAATCCCGCATGGAACAAGTATTTGTATGGCCTACATATAGTTGTTCCGGGTCTGGATGTTTGTCCTTGTGCAATTTATGTTTGTAAACTGCCCCACGATACAAGAGAAAATCTTAGTGTAGGGGTAACGTTTTTTTTAAAGGAAAAAAAAATAAAAGAAGTCAGGAATCTGGCGGTGCTTCATTCACCCTCGTGTCTCGGAAAGCATGTTAAACCATTGGTCCTGCGTCTGAACTCTCTCCGGTCGTGTCGCATTACGGTCTCATCGGATTATGAGAGTTAAGGCGCTACCTCCAGCGAACGACCTTGAGCGTTTGGTCTGTCGAAGCTCGCTACAATATATCGCATAAGAAATCGCTAAAAGACGGCACCTACTGCTACGAACGTAGTATTATTTTTTCGATGTCAATGAACTATTCTATGGAAATAGACACAGCGTACAATGATAAATGTATTTTAATTTTCTTTATTCGGTATATTAGTTGCATTATATTAGAATTATGTATTCTAATATATTATCTAATTAATAAAAAAGACTATTTTGATTATTTTTAACTATATACTATACTGCTAATATTGAATTAGCTTTTTATAGTGTAAATTATAATATTTGTCGAAATATTAATTATGGATTCGAACTTTACATGCTAATGGTGCTTCATTTTTGTTATTTTCATTTACTTACATATTGAAAATATACTTGAATAGTAGGTATTATTATTTTATTTAGCTACTGAATTTTAGGATATGTTTTACCTTGAGGTCAAATATAATTTTGAGGAGCAATAGTTATTACCTACTAATCTTTTATCTGCCATTCCTTATTTAGGAACAATATTAGTAAATTGAGTTTGAGGGAGATTTACTGTTTATAATGCTACATTTATTATTTTAATATTTACCTACAGGGTAGGTAATTATTAAAATAATAAATATAGCATTAGTAACTGAATAGATTTTTTTTTTTAATTTTTAAAATTAAAATTTTCGTATTTTTAAAAATTACTAAAAAAAGGGTTTGAAATAATAGATTTTCTCACAAAAGAAGGGAACTTGAAAAAAAAAGGAAAAAAAGCGGGACCAAAGCCAAGACGCGAACCACGGAACTCCGATATCACGCCCGACCGACATACCACCTGAGCTATAACGACCGTTAGTGGAAATTTACCTTCTTATATTGTAGCAGTTTTTTTTATTGCCTGAAAACATGGACAAAAGGACATTTTCTAAAAATAAATCCAAGCGTTCGTCGCTAAAATCGTTGGAGCCGTATAATTTTCTCATCTGGTTCGGTTATATAAATATTTAAATATATAAAAATTATAAATTAAAATGAAAAGATAAATATACATAAATATCAATAAAATATAATAAATACAAAATATTATTATATTATTACTGTTATTATTATTATTATAAGTTGTGGTTTGGTGAAGCTGCAACCTAATGGACCATGATCTGAAATTTTTATGAAAAGAAGTCGCTGACGTCAATTATTATTATTCTTATTATTTTTTCATTACTGCCTTTTTCAACCTCACAAGATATTTGTAACTGCAAAAAAGAAAACTACGTATAAGTAAGTAAATCAGTAATATAGTGTTATGTATGATTCAGACTAAATAAAGGTTCCTAAAAATAGACGTAGATAAAGAAATTGCATAAAAAATTACTCAAATAAAAATGCAATAAACTTGTTACTTTTATAGGTACTTAGTAAAATATTAAAATAATAAGTTTTTTTAGGATATTTATGTAAAACATAAAGGTTATATTATGTTCTAACTACGTTCACGCTTGCGCATATAAAACCGCGGAATTTCACTAGTTTTATTATCAAAATAATAATTGACAACCCTACCCTAAGTTTGCCTTGATTTTACCAACTCAAACTCGTTTTAGGAGATCAAAACATAGAGAGAAAGATAGGAGACTATTTTTTATTTAATATGGTTGGATCTTTATTTATTTGTATATTTTTTGTATTTATTTTATTTTATTGATATTTATGTATATTTATCTTTTCATTTTAATTTATATTTATAAAAACCAACCAGATGAGAAAACTATACAGATACCCCAACAATAATAATATAATAATAATAATATTCCACAACTATCACACAACGCCATCTAGTCCCAAGCTAAGCAGAGCTTGTGTTACGGGTACTAGACAACTGATAAACATACTTATATATTTCTAAATACATAAATATTATAGATAAATTACACCCAGACACAGAACAAATGATCGTGCTCATCACACAAACATTTGTCCTGGGTGGGAATCGAACCCACGACCTGCAGCATAGCAGTCAGGGTCACTAACCACTAGACCAACAGGCCTGACGATAAATAAAATAAAGTCTTTAGCTCGAGAGGAGAGGAGCCGTGGTAGCTCAGATGGTTAGCGCTTGCTAAAATTTTTACAGTGTGCGAGCAAACCGTGTTCGATCCCCGCCGGCACCAATAATATTGTAATTGCAATTTTAAGTGTTGATTTACTACGTGCTCAGTGGTGAAGGAAAACATTGTGAGGAAACCTGCATGTCTGAGAAATAAGAAAAAAAATATTTCGAAGACATGCAAAGTTCGCCAACATGCAGTGATAATTCCTTTCCTAGGACCCTTTCAGAAAATAGAATAGAAATAAAAAAATAATAAATCCAAACTTCATTTAAAACCAAACATATAAATTGTAAAGTAGCTGCGGTATCTATAACCAAGTAAAAGATATTCCTTTACTCCAACTTGTCCATGTTTCCCAAAACAATTTTTAATTAAGCTTTATATTATAATGCGTCATTTTTTATATTTAAATTTTTAATAATAAAGCATTTCGTACGTCTCAGCCGAGGCGCAAATATTTTTCGGCCGCAAATTTATAAGACCGATTTGTTATTCAAACATAAACATGGTTTTTTAATTTAATCTACCAATCATAAAACGACACGCATTTTTATTGAACACTTCCTATTCAATTCACAAAGTACCTATTATATATTTGTTTATATAAAAAGTATATTTAAGTACAATCATAAAACTAAATGGAAACACAAAGTAGGAAAATGCATTGAGTTATAAAACACATAAATCAATGGGCAAATGTAAAAATGCTGGAGGCAGGCATCCCTATCGCATGTTTACGTACCGCACGGCTGTAATATTTATTTCTAAGATACGGCCGAGTTACAATATACCGTGACGTAAGCGCATCGGTTGGTAGGTACTCAAATAATATTATGTTTGCGGCGAAATACGGACGCAGCGACCAGCGACGCGGCCACCTCGTATGAACGCATACAGCGTAATGCCGCCCGCACTCTGCGCACGCCCCTTTATCATAGAAGTCACACAATTTTCGGAATTATTTCAATTAAAAGAGAAAAAACGAACTTAAAAATTTAAATAAAACGTGGAGAATATAGATTTTTTAATTATCTATCCATTAGTGTTATCCTCAAATGATTAGAGCGTTGCGTTTAGTAACAGATGCATGTAATCAAGAATTTTAGTCATTTTTTAAAAGTTGATTTTAAATGTATTTATAGCACATAAAAATAAATTAGAACGTGGAATGCGATGATAATATATCGAACATTAATGTACTTTTAGATGTAGTTTATTTTTCATAACTAATGAGATAATAGAGTCTGAAAAACGCACTTTCGCAACATTTTGGTCAGGGATTCACCTTAAGGAATAGCTCCTGTGCTTGCGCATACAATTGGGCACTACAATCCTGTCCCGCGCAGACGGCTAGTCGCAGTTGAAGACTGGCCGCCATGAGCGAAATTCGGTATAGAGGTCATTATTATTATTACAGTATATCAGGTGGTACAGAGTATGGATGTGGATGCTCACTGAACAAATCTCGCACACGTCGAGCTCCCTGTCCCACGAGGATCTCGTCAAACTCCGGACCAGCCGCGTGGAAGAACGGCACCCGAGCCTCACCAGCCACGGCCCGTGCCAACAGTGTTTTGCCAGTGCCGGGCGGACCGACTAGCAATACACCCTTTGGCAATTTACCACCCAATGATGAAAACTTCTCTGGAGATTTTAGGAATTCCACCTAGGAAAAAATATGGACAATTTACTGACGGCAACAACATTCCTGCAACCTGGGCGGCGCCATTTAGAAATGAAGTGAAGTAAAATATTTGACATATTTCATAGCCATTACTGCTACAACCTCACAAAGTCCATAGGCCTCAGCCTTAAATCGCTTCATAGGAGAGACACTTACCACACTGACAGGCGGGTTGGCAACCGCAGTTTTTTTATTTTTAGTCGTTATTTATCGCCTCTTACGACACCCACGGGATGATATGGGGTAGTTCTTACATCGCCTTTACACAGTCTCATAGCAAAAGAAGTTAATTTGTTAGAAATGTGTAGAGATTTAATGTTTCTTTCTAAAACATTAATTATATTTTATACTAATTATATTAGAAATGACCTTATTGGTAAAAGTAGAAGAATAAAAAAATGTGTAAAAAATTAAAGAATACAGCACTGAGGTTTTGTTTTGTGTATATTATATAGTGTACTAGCTTGCCAGGCAGACGTCGTTCTGCCCTTTTCGACGACCCTTTGTCATGTCTTTTTCGCAAAAAAAGTCTTTTGGGTCACAAATAGGGAAAAAAACTATCCTATCTCTCAAGTTGGACCAAACTGCACACGGTGTGCAAATTTGATTAAAATCGGTTAAGTAGTTTAGGAGTCCATCGCAGACAAACAATGTGACATGTAATTTATATATATTAAGATTCATATACTAGAAACCGAAAATTTATAATTAAATCTCAACTTTTCAATGATGATGACACCATGTGAATCTGTATAATCAATAAGTTCACTTTAGTTACCTACTAGCGACATCTAGTGGGCGTGAGATTATTATCTTTCATTGTAGGTGATCGCATTATGTAACTCTGGTTGTTTATTTATAAGCAACTAACCCCTTGATCGTGTTTAGATAATATACTGACATTACTTTACTGTTTTTACTGTCTCCTTGGTCTAGTGATCATAAACGCATTTGCAAATCATGAGGTCCTGGGTTCGAATCTCGGATCGGGCAAAAATCAGTTTTATTGGATCTTTCTGTTTTCAGCAGCAGCCTGGAGTCAGGATATTGGCGGTGTTTCACCCCCGTGCCTTGGAAAGCATGTGAAGCCGTAGGTCCTACGCCTGATCTCTTTCCGGTCATCGTTTTCGTTTACCGTCCAATTAGATTATGATGGATGGAGAAAGAGGGAAAAGAGAGTGTACCTGTGCTTATGTATATACTTAGGCACTATTTTCCTGTCTATCTGTATATATAAAAATCAACTATGTTGCAAATTGCTAAAACTCAGGAACGGTTCAGACCATTTTGATGAAATTTTTTTGAGTGCGTTTGAGGTACGGCTTGTATTTTTTTATCATAATCGTTCGCACCGTTTATGCGAGACTAACGGACAGCAATTGATTTTTATATATAGAGACTTGAAGGGTGATGAAGTATCTTTGAATTGTATTCTTTAAATTGAACTTCACTTATTATATATTTATATATTTGAAGTTACCGACCACATCCTTTAGCTCCTGCTTGGCCTCGTCAGCGCCCTTGACGTCGTCGAAGGTGACGTTGATGTCCTCCGGGTCCACTTCCACCTGGTTACCAAGCTGGATCCTGCGCATGTTTCCCCCATCCATACTGATTATATTCCGATGATAAACGTTTATATACAATAAGGTGCAAATTGAGATAAAATGAAAGAACATTTGTGAAATGACAACATTAAAAAAACAGTTTAATTTTTTATCGCGTGTATCGTGAGAGGAGATATAGACAAAGACTATTTTGCTTCCCTATAGGTTGCCTCAAGGTATCAGCCAATGTCGCCACGCTTGACAGGCGGATTAGTAACCATGGTATTTTATATTACTTTTCACTCGGTCACCTCTTACGATTTCATCAGGACGGTACGGGTTAATGGATTTTCTTACACCATCACCACACTGCAAATCGATCCATTACACTATATAGAAGTGTTATCATCTCATAGTTTTATCAGATTTATTTAATATACCTAGACTTGTGACAGTGGCGAAGCTTCCTTTAAAGTCGAAAAGCCGGGCTTGCCTTATTAAACCTGAATCAATCAATAATATCATTCAATAATTTCAACTAATAAAATAACTCGTAAAAATGTTTCAAGCTATTTCAAATTTCCCGCGCACTCCACTGTTCGACACATGTCGACCGATGACCCCGTATTGCCTTAGCGATACTGCTGCTGTCATAAAAAATGAGTTTTAATAGAGCTAATAGTTGTCTCCCTCGCTCGCGTGGGCTTTTTACGGGGCTTTCGAGAAGACGATCGCTCTCTTTCTAACCTATGGCAAAATATTCTATAATTAAATATAACTACGATTGTATATATAGCAATTAGTATAGAGATTTAAAGCCAGGCTTTTGGGAATAAATTTGTTAAAAGCGGAGGCGCGCGGGCAATACGTTTGCAAGTTCATTTCACGTTTCAATGTTTATTTACTCTGTGTGCTTATCTTAAGCGATTTAATATTACGAGTTCAAAATTTATGCTTTTTTAAAGATTTTTAATGAAAATGGAGGATAATAGTGTTCCTTGCGATGAATTGAGGTGTGTTAAAGCGATAATCGGAGAGGAAATCTTTAAACTTTGTTGAGATAATACACAAGGTTAAGTGTGTATTTCAGACTTATCAATTATTACAATTAAAAACAGTTATTGGTAAAATTAAAACGTTCACCAACATTTTATGTGGACGTAATTAAATCTTTCCATAAGAAAGCGAGACGATTCCACTTATCTTATCTTATATCTTATCCATTAGAATGTAAATAAATAAATAAATAATTTTTTTTTAATTTTGTACATAGTTTGTTTGTACTTTGTTCGTGTTTTACTTTTGTTCATGTTTTGTATTGGATGTAAATATTTTTTTTCTTTCGCTTACACAAACCCAAACGGCTTTCTTCAAAGCCACCGAAGCTATGCAATTGGTGATATGTAATACAATCTATCTAGCAGTGGTATGCCTTCTGTGTGCTTTGTTAAACACGTCCTTGACAGCACTGAATATGAAACTGAAGCGTGGAGACAGATCAAGATTGGTGTATTTATATAAAACTGCTAAAAACAACAATCTATATTTTTATCAATTTATATCTTGGGCTTGCCCTAGCTTGGAGCTCTAGCTTCGCCACTGACTTGTGATCGGAGCAACATTGAAAATGCAGTATCTAATACTGCCAAGAATGAAGATTATCACAAATTCTAAAGCACTGGGTTGATAATTTAGACCCCTAAAGAAAAACATGAAATGCATTTTTTTTAAATTATTAACAGTGGAATTTATATTTATTACTGGCTGGTCCCAGCGCGTTGCTGCCGCAAAAGAAGTAATTGTGGAAATATCGTTTTAAATTTGAAAAGAATACATTGTTTAATTAGGAACTTTAACACATTCCTTGAAATTAAATGATATAATTATGTCTTCCTTTTTTAAACAAACAATAATTTATATATATATTAGAATCTGTACAACAAAATTATGTTTTAAATGTAACTGCTATCACTAAAGTGTAACTTGTAACTGTACTTGTAGGGGTTATTCGGGTTTGGTATGTATCAGTAAAATGTTTTTAACATCCATTTTTGAGGACATCATATAACATGATTAAATTAACGATGGGTGGGGTGAATAGTAATAAAAAAATTACATAAGAAAGAATACTAGTGGAGTCTTTTAAATATTTCTTCTCCGGTCAAGGAACCTAATTTAAAAATGGTAGGAAATTCAAAGTTTTTATTTAGAAAAAATAAATGTAAGTATTTCATTTTACTATAGCAGTTATTTAATGCAACATTAAATTATTGGGGAGTTAAGAATTTTAAAATTAGTTGACAAAAATATTTGCACAACTGTAGCTCAATAGTAACCAAAAAACTTGTTTAGCAAAACTAATTTACTAGTTTCATGTATAACAGTTTTGTTTTGTAAGTCTAAATGCAAATATATAATTCGATTGTGAGAAGCCCACATACAGCAATGGACTTTACAAGCTGGTTAAGAAGAATAAGAAGAAGTAATAGTTAATTTGATGGATACCGGAAGACGGTGCCACTGACGGACGCCATGAGGCTGACGAAGATGGCAAGAAATAGCACTATAGTCAGCAGTTGCTGCACCAGCTTCAAGTATTTAGAACCTTTCGATGTACGGGCATTTTCTGGGTGTGACCCTGAAATTAGAATTATGAAGAAGATTCAGATCACTCCATCCAGAACCAGGTCCCTGTAACAAATTCTGCAAACGAAATTAATTAAAGAGAGAATAAAATAAGAAGGAACATATTTATTAATCATAGCAACTTAGTTTCACCAAACATTACATTGACAACATTAATTGTGAATCAAATATATTGATTTATGATTATTTTATATGACTAGCTGTTCCCGCGACTTCGTCCGCGTGGAATTTATTACGATTAGATTTTATGGGTTTTAATTTTTTTTTTGCGCGTAACCATTATTCTTTTTCTAAAATAAAAATAGCCTACGTCACTCCTTATAACATTACCTATCGGCCAGTGACAATCCCGACAAAATCATTCCAGCCGTTTCGGAGATTAGCCGGAACAAACAAACAGACAGACAAAAAATTTAAAAAATATTTTTGTTACAAATAACTTAAATACTTTCATAATATGCATTTAGTAAAAAGCTTTTATTAGATATCATATATTTTACTATTATCATTTTACAAGAATTCATTAGTAAGGTTACTGAAACTGTTCTGCTTAATTAAATTACAACGCAGGTAGGTAAGAAAGACACTGTCCACTATGAGTAGTTGCATCTCAAACACTACTACCCATATTGAAAGGCCTTTATGTAAGTAAGTTTGCTAACATTTGTCAACTCTTTTAATTTAGCAAATATGTTACAAGATTTATTAAGACTATGACATACAAATCTATTTATAACAGTTGCAGAACCACGCGGCAGCTTTTGCTGTCGTACGGATGGGCAAGCACGAACCGGAGTGGTACCACGACCTCACAGAATACCAGCGTGAAGTAGAGATTTACCTCTGCGTTTCGCTTGGTAAGTGCAGGTGACCGGAGGCCCAATTAACCCCCCCCCTTTACATGGTAGCGGAATCAATTAAAAAACTACCCTAGGAAGGTACTAGCACCTCTGGTGATGGAAAATCCCTCGCTGAGCGTCCACGACCAAATTATCCTACTTCTCCTGAGCGTGGGTGCTCAGGCTGCGCCGTGTATTCTGAGGGGGGGGAGGGGGCGCAATTCCGCTCGCGGCTAAAACTGCTCAGGCCAAGTGGAGCAGCAACACCAAGGTGACCCCTGTCACGCAAACCGTGAATTTTTACAATATCAGGGGACTTAATTACAACCTTAACGTGGACACACTACCATCTGGAGACGGCGAAACCGGCCTTATTTTTTTTAACTGAGACTCAGGTATCCTTTCCAGCTGACACTTCATATCTCTCCTACTCGGGGTAACAATTAAAACACTCCTTTGTGCCCCGGGCAGGAGATTGGGTATACTTAAGAAAGGACATCTGTTTTCGACACCTCGGCAGTCTTGATGGTAAGCTGCGCGTAGACAGCGACGACCATCCCCGCGTCTACGGGTATAGGTCCCATAGCAGTAATGCCGAAGCAGACCGACTTCGATTTCGTGCTACAGCAGTTCCCGTCCGCAGAGATCGTGATCCTTGGCGATTTTAACGCCCCTCACGCCAATTTGACGGTTCACGGTCACGGTTAATCGATCATGCGGTGAGATCTATTTATGACTTTGCCTTGGCGTATGGTCTGACACAACTGGTTACTTCGCCTACGCAGATTCCAGATGTGGAAGATCATTACATACACCTTCCCTGTTGGACATTCTGCTGACCGATCATCCGAATGGATATCAGGTTTCCGTCGACGCCCCTCTATGCTCGTCGGACCATTGTCTTGTCCGGAGTATGGTGCAAGTCACATGAACGTCGCGGTTGCATTCTGCAGGCTGCCGCCGTGTTTGGCACTATAGGTCGGCCGATTAGCGTAGGATGCGGTACTGTTTTTGCATCCTACCAGCAGGGCCGGACGAACCCAGCGTTGTTGCTGATTCTGTCGCTGATGTGGTACTTCAGGGTATGAAACTTTTTATTCCATCCTTTGTGGTGGGTGCCCATCGGAGGCAGATCCCAGCCATGGTTTCGTCGCTTCTGTAAAATAGCATCACGCCATAAGAAGGAATGCTACCGGGCCTGGGCTGACGCATCAACGTCTCGGGATGTAAACACCAGCGCTCTTAAAAAGAGGCTAAGGCAAGGTCTGACCACATCGGCAGAATTGGCGAAAAGCTAGTTCGCCTTTTTCGGGATACCGTGCATTCTGGTCTCTCGCCAAGGCTGTTCAAAGGGACTTCTGTCACATCATCTCTTCCATCCATAGTTTGGACATAGGCTTTCGATCGGATCTGGCACAAAGGGCTTCTTTCAAAGCCCCAATTTTTCCATGAGCTTCTCGAGAAATTGTGCAATTGAATCACCAGTTTCCTTGCTGATTGGAGCATCAAGGTTGTAGTACGACAGTGCATGCTCTGAGTACAAGCCTATTAACGCTGGTGTTCCATAAGGCTGGATATGCTAAGCGTAATATCACCAACGCTGTTTCTTCTGCATATCAATGATATGTTGCAAACTGCCTTATGCACCGGCCGTGCCAAGATTTCTCGGAAAAACGTCGCCGAGTACCAGGACAAACTTGTGCCTGAAGTAGAGTCTTTGCTGAACAAAGTCTCTGATTGGGGGCGACTAAATCTAGTCCAATTCAATCCCTAGAATACACAAGTTTGCGCGTTAACCACTAAAAAGAACACCTTTGTCATGTCTCCTCAGTTTGAAGGCACTCCCCTTGCTGCCTAAGCTAGCATCAGAATCTTCGGCGTCGACATATAGAATAGTTTGCAGTTTTGTGGTCACTTGGAGGGGGAGGCCAAATTGGCTTCTAAAAAGCTGGGCGTGCTCAGCAGAGGGAGACAGTATTTCATGCTGGCACACTGCTTGAAACTTTACAAAGCCCAAGTTCAGCCTGACATGGAATACTGTTCTCATCTCTGGGCCAGGGCACCCCAGGGCCAGCTCCTTCCACTTGACTGCATCCAGCGCAGAGCGATTCGAATCGTCGACGTCCGAGTGCTTTCTGATCGGCTCACTGGCGCTGCGTAGGGATGTTGCATCCCTTTGTGTTTTCTATCTTTTCTACCATGGGGAGTGTTCTGGGGAATTGTTCGGATTAGTTCCAGCCGTCAAATTTCACGAACGCACATCGCGTCAAAATTATAATTTAATAAACAATTAAAAATATTTCTTATTAATAAATGTTATTATAATTTAAATGAATTTTTTGACGATAAATAACGACAAAGTAAGAATACTTAAACAGCCAAGCTCAGATTGCCTTAGGAAATGAGCTGGAAATATCGGGTCTAGAAGAAACACCAAATGAAAACCCAACTCACTTGGTATTAACTGTCGCCGCTAAACTGGGCATTGAGCTTCAGGATATGGACTTGAATTATGCGCACCGAGCTGGTCCCAAAAACCAAAACATAAACACTAACGTGAGTGGGAACCGTAAATTTCACCGTTCCTTGGTGGTTGCTTTTACCCGTCGATCTAAACGTGAGGAATTCCTTAAACACGCGAAAGCTAGAAAAAACCTAAAGAGTAAAGACATTTTGAATCATGGGCCTGAAAATTTGATCTACGTAAATGAGCGTCTTACTGGCGAAAATCGACGGTTATTTCGTACTGCGAGAGCTTTCACCGTCGAACATGGCTACAGGTTTTGCTGGCTTCGAAACGGATCCATATTTATTAGGAAAAGGGATGTCAAGGAAGGTAGCCCCGCAATCCGTATTAGGTCCGAAAATGATCTCAGCCGCCTGCTCTGTGCCCAAACCAAACCAGACACGGCGACCACTCAGTAAACATTACCCGAGCCTCAAGAGCCTAGTCATTAATATTTTGTCACTAATTTGCAATCCATATGGTCGCCATTTTTCTTATATACTCATCATACTTATTATAACTTTGAATTTAACTTTTCACAATTGTAAGCGCAATCACACACACATTTTAACACACCTACACATCTTCTCCCCCATGGTACATTCCTCAAAATATTTCGTGGTTATCTACACCCCTTCTTATGTTTATATGGCACTCTCTCCTTTAATGCCAAAATACTCCAACCAATTTTTCATGATCTTCCCATGGCTTCCCTAGAATTGTTAGATGCTATAGATAACTCATCTCAGATAAAGTGCCACTACATAACGGTCCCAGAGGATTGTAAAGACGTTATGTCTAGATTTTCATTTAGGATTTTAAGCATGAACATAAGAAGCATGCGTAAAAATTTTGATAATTTCCTCGTAACCCTAAAAAGGTTGGATCTTGATTTCGACGCTATTGTCTTCAGCGAGTGCTGGCTTAATGAGTTTGTGACGGTCCCCCTATTGCAAGGATTTACATCATTTTACTCTCAAAAGTATATAAACAGGGCAGGAGGAGTCGCTATCTACATAAGAGATAGGTGGTCAGCCAATTTTTCTGAGCTGAACGTTGACGAGGGTAATTGTATTCTCGCAGAAGTTGCAAATCACTTCTCAGTAGTAGCCGCTTACAGATCACCTAGTTACACCAACCCAGAAATATTTATTCGCTCTTTTGACGCTAACTTAAAAACGGTTAGTTCCTCTCCTTTTCTTATTTTTGCTGGAGACATAAACTTAAATATTATTGGGTCTGCAGCTGACATAAACTTGCACACGGAGTACTTAGATGTGTTAGCAGAGTACGGACTTTTTCCAGCTATAACCAAACCAACTCGGGTCCAAACCTGCATAGATCACATTTTTGTACCCGTAAAATCTAATGCGGAGTCCGTAGTCTATCTCAATGCTGCCACTGACCATGATATCACTATGGCAGGCATAATGTTAAAGACACACAAACCAAAAAGACCAAAACCTATTCGATCAAGAGTAATAGTTGACATAGACTCAATAAGATCAGAGCTGGAAGGAACGGACTGGTCAACAGTAATAAACTGCAGCTCTCTTGAAGAGTCTGTAACTCATTTTACTAAGACGGTATCAGAGGCAATATTGAGATATTCAAAAACTTGTGTAATAAGCCGCTCCAGAACTACCTTACACCCCTGGATGACTCCTGGTTTAATCAGATGCTCTAAACACCGCGATAAGCTTCATATAGAATATCGCAAGGACCCAAACAACCCAACTAAAAAACTTATATATACGCGCTATAGAAATTTTTACATAGATCTAATTAGAAGACTAAAACGTGATTACAACAAAAAAAGAAATAATCAAAAATAAGTATGCTCCAAAAAAACTCTGGGGTACTATTAACCGCATAACTGGCAAAGACACTAGCTCAAGTTCTAACCTGGCTCTCATCAACTCAAGACCCTCCGTAAAAGAGTCTCTCAATGTTTGCAACTCCTACTTTGTTTCTGTAGGTAATAAGCTGGCAAACTCTATCATGCTGAAATTAAATGAGACTCAAGAGTCCCTTGCCGAAAAAGTACATATTCCTGATCAACCCGTTGGTTCATTTTTCATGAATCCTACAGATGAACTGGAAGTTTTGGGTCTTATCCGGTCTCTTGATTCAGGTAGTGCGCCTGGTATGGACGGCATCACTAACAAACTTTTAAAATCAGTGGCCCACACAATCGCGGAGCCCCTGGCTGCGATATTTAACTTAAGTATCTCATCGGGAGTCTTCCCAAGCCAGTGGAAAGTTGCGGCAGTTACCCCCATATACAAGAATGGAGCTACGGACGATCCTTGTAATTACCGACCCATATCACTCCTGGGTAGTTACTCGAAGCTCCTGGAACGTGTAGTCCATAAGCGGCTGACTAACTATCTTGAAAAGAATAGCATACTCTCGGACCGTCAGTTCGGTTTTCGCCAGGGAAAATCAACTGAGGACGCAGTAACTCTTCTCACAGATATGGTTGTAACTCATCTCGATCAGGGTCGATCCTGTGTTGGTGTTTTTCTCGATCTGGCTAAAGCATTCGACACGGTATCCATCCCCATCCTCCTTAAGAAATTAAGTGCTCTTGGGATTCGTGGTCTAGCTCTAAACTGGTTTTCCAGCTATCTGTCGGATAGAAAGCAATGCGTCCAAATAGGCGATCAGGCAAGCGATCTCAGATCTGTAGATTTTGGTGTTCCTCAAGGTAGCATCTTGGGGCCGACTCTTTTTATTTCGTACATTAATGATATTATGTCAGTTCAACTTGAAAATAGTGAGGTTGTATGTTATGCTGACGATACAGCCATAATATTCTATGGTAAATCTTGGTACGACGCCTATTTTTCAGCCATCTCCGGGTTGTATAGATTACTAAAATGGTTAAATAACAACATCTTAACACTGAACACCTCAAAAACGCAGTTAATTTGTTTTCATAAAACTGCAGCGTCTGAACCGCCACCCTCACTTTTCAATAGCCTTAAAGTACACAACGACAACTGTAGTTTTCGCTCCGTGAGCTCTCCAAATTGTAACTGTGACCAGATAAATAGGGTCGGCTCCCTTAAATATTTAGGCATTATAATAGATGAAAATCTTAACTTTAAAAGTCATATATCGGTGACATCAGCCAGGGTCCGTAAGCTGATACACACGATGAGACTATTGAGAGATTCTACTGATGGCAGCATTTTAAAGTCCGTCTACCTTGCACTATGTCAGTCCGTACTTAGCTATTGTATACTGGCGTGGGGATGGTATATCTTCTTCTACGTTGATATTACTGGAAAGGGCCCAGAGGGCAGTTTTGAAGGTAGCTATGGGTAAACCAAGGCGCTATCATACGTCAGATCTCTTTAGAGAAGCTCAAGTTTTAAGTGTCCGTAGATTGTATCTTCTGAGGGCCTTTACATATATGCACAAGGAAGCTTCAAAACTGCCGACGTTTAATACATTAATAAATAAAAGAGTGTTTAAGATCCCCACAACCTTAGTTAAAACATCTTTCGCACGTCATTTCACACTGTTCCAATCCCCTCGCATCTACAACAAATTAGTCAACTTATACGACTTAAAACGATCCCAACTTTATGAGGCTAAAATAAAAATGAGAGGTCATTTATTGACTTGGGACTATGAGAAATCAGAAGAAATATTGGTGACCCTTAAATAGGTGTTAAAACGGTAGTGGACTGCACTGACGCACGCCCTGTCGTCTGATCCCAAGAATTTAATCGTAGGGCTACCTAACCACTCAGCTTATCCCCAATTGCAATCTCTCACCCTTTTACTTACAATTTTTAGAGAATTATGTAACAGGCATGCTAGCACACACACACATACATACACACACACACACACACACACACACACACACACACACACACACATTCATACACATTCACCCACAAGTACACGCGCGCCCCTTTTAATTAGAATCTGTTTGTTATGTCTGTAATCTTTCATAAATTTTTAAGTAATTTTTACTTTGCTGCACATAATTGTTTTACGTAATTTCGACAAATAGCCACTTTGATCAATTGTAAAATCTTTTGCTTGACCCCCACGAGACAGGCCATGCCTAGTGTGGGAGTCACAGAACTTATTGTATTTTGGCTACGTGTTTTCTGGTAAATAAACAAATTTATTTATTATTATTATTATTTATTAAACTAGGTACATTGTATTCCAAATTAAATTAATTTATATAAAATAATATTGAATGTTAATGATACGATAATTTGTAATTTATGTTTAAAAATTAAATAATACGAAAATAGTTAGCCCTCTAGTGTTGCTATGCCCTTGCGGGGCGTCACATGTATACCTATCAAAATTGTACCATCTTAAATTTGTAATGTGACATGCAATAAACAATTTGAATTGGAATTTGAAATTCCCGATACCATCCTCACCATCTGGATGCTTGGCGGTTCACTACTGTATGTTTTACTAGGAGTTTTCTTCCTCATACAACTCCTAAGTGGAATTGTTTACTACCGGCGATTTTCCCGGACCGAATAACCGACCGGAACGACTTAGGGACCTTCAAGAAAAGAGCTTACTTCTTTCTAAAAGGCCGGCAACACACTTGCAATCCCCTGGTTTGAGGTTGTTCATGGGCGGCGGTAATCACTTACCATCAGGTGCGCCGCATGTTTGTTTGCCCTTTCTACTATAAAAAATTAATAAATAATTAAGCTTAATGTAAATTTGTTGTATATGTTAAAACTCACCAGCAAGATACCCCTCTGCAAATGCTATCTTGATTTTATCCTTTTGCTGGTTTGTGAGCAGTGTGTTCTCATTGAGAAGTTTCTCCAGTCGGGGTGCAACTTCAGGTCCCAGGTTACCCTGTTGCTGCTTTTCTGCACCATCACTAACATTTAGGCCTATGTTTTTGAAGGAAATATGTAATTCAGAAAATAGAGTATTTTGTATTACATAATACGAATTCAAAATAGAGAGATTTACTGGAATATTTCATTACCTAAATAATAATAATAATAAAAAATTAATAAGTAGAAAAGCTTTCGGGCATCAAATCCAAAAATTATGCTAAAAATACATAAATCATACATTCAACCTATTTTGGAGTATGTATTCCAAATCTGGAGGTTCTCTATTTATTTCGAAAAGGACATTGAGTTACTGGAGAAGGTTCAATGATTTTCAAAAGTCCCTAGAGCATTGAAAAACATACCATATGAGGAAAGGCTGTATAAACTTAAACTAACAACTCTGGAAGATCGCAGAGATTGAGGAGACTTGATAGAAACATATAAAATTACATGTGGACAATATGATCTAGAAAATTTTGCCAAGGATTAATTCCAAATTAACTAAAGCTATATCACATAATAACCCACACAAGCACTTTTTGGTTAATGAGTGGTCGAAGCATGGAACATGCTGCTAAATTTTTATTGTTGATAAGTATATTGTTGATAATACATGTGAAACTGGTCACCCATGTCATAACAGGTCAAGGTTTATTATAATAAGCATCTCTTTGCTTTAGGTGTTTACAGACAGACATGTGAAAACTTTTGTCTAGTCTAAGGATTCTAACCCTAGATTCTAGGCCAGGGTTCAAATCCCAAGTTGGGTCAAAATTAGTTTTTAAAACCTAATAACTAATTTTTGCTTCTATAAAGAAATATTCTGCCTCAAATATCCTTCCCTCAGTAGAAGGCTAGTATTTGTTGAGTGGCGATAACTAAAACTATGGTTGTATGTTATTGATGTTATTGGTATTATATGTGGTAGGTTTTGTTTCCTTTTTTTGTTTTGAGATCGTATGGAATGTGTGCATCGATTTCAAGAAGTATTCAAATTTATCATTAATGCTTTTTATTTATGACTATATCTAATAATTTCTCTAACATTAAAAATAACTGCAATATTGCACAAGGTAAAGCATGTTGCCAAAAGAAGCTTAAGATTAATTTTAAGAGACTGTTTGATTGATTGATGATGGTGATGACTGATGAAAACATTGGTTTTTTTTTGTTGGATAGTCTACAAATGACATATTATAGTGCATAGACATCATTGAGAATATATTGCAAGAAATAAATATTCCTGTGCACTACACAACACTACACTACACTAATCCACCTCACCCCATATGTATAGTAATAGGCGATAGAGGGAAATAAAATTGTATATGGGCAGTAGCATCTTTCTAATAACTCAAAAAACCTGCAGGTGTAGCAACTACATCAAATAGCTAACAAAAAATTAGGCTAAGAGCAAATACTGGGGGAGGCCTATGTTCACCAGTTGACTTTTGATAGCCTGTAGTCTGTGGTAAAAAATATTGATATTTCGAAACTTCCATATTTTTTTACATAGTAAACAATATTTATTTTTGATATTTTTAATAGTGAAGTATCAATATTCAATATTTATGTTATAATTTAATAGACAAAATATTAAGCAATAAAAGCGTTCATGTACTATTGTTTTGTTACAAGAAAAATGTTTAGTAATAAAATTTGTCTAAATCTTGTCTAAATTTTGTCTTACTACATCATGTTAAACATGATAATATATTTATCACACAATAATCGTGTTTAAAAATATTGATACCAAAAATATCAATTTATTTTATTCACTTGCCCATCCCCAAGTATGTAATGAAGAAAATAATTGTCTTAACTGTAGGAAGGCTGACTATAGCAGGACTGCATACATTTTCACACACTTTAATATGTATTTGTAGAATGTGATCCAATAATTATAAGGTTTATGAAACATTACATAACAGCATGTAATACTTTAAATTGAGTTTTTTTTTATTTGAATGAAGTTTGAATGACATACAAAGAATTGATTGATTGGAATCAATTTTTTTAGAAAATGCTCAATGAAAATCATATCTATATATATCACATTTATTGTAATAATGTCATAAAAAATCTATTACTGCTAAGTAATATCTAAAAATACTAACCGAATAACTTACGCAGTCTATTGATGAGGTTAGGGTTCCGTTTGAGGTCCGCATGGACACTACGCTCAGTTTTAAAGCCTCGAACCTGTATGTTGTATTTAAAGGTGTTATGTCTTAAACCACTTGCAAGCAGCCCAACAAAATTATCAGTGAAATTAAATCGTGGGTGTTTGTTTCGTAAATCAACTGTTACTGTTGGTGTAGATGACATATCTATCCAACCATTTTTATTTTTCTCAAATGAATCACCAGACATATAAGAAATCTTCTTTACGGAGCTCAGATTATTAAGAGGACTTTTGCAAGGACCAGCTATCGTTCTTAGGGATCTTAGGTCAATGTTACGCATCTCTATTAACACATTCTTATCAATATTGTTTAGGGTTTCGTTAAAGCTCTCCGGGCATAGTGTTGCATTGTAAAACCCTGTAGTAGCCTCCGTGCTCTTCACATGTTTATTTTTACTATTATTGTGTTTCTTTTGCTTGAATATACATGAATATCGAGACGACAGCTGACTAAAACTAATAAGAACCTGCAACAACCAAAGGTTATGCGATGACAAACAAAATGTCTTTTTAGTTTTACCGTAATTATAGAATATTTTAGATTTGAGTTACCTGATTTTGACTGTTAATAGAATTCAGTGAAAACATGTTACATTAAGATAGTTATTATTTCTCTCTTATTGAAGTACTCGAAAATTTTGTAGTCAAAAGGTTCTTATGTCAGTTCCATAGAGATAGAGTCAAAGTTAATGTCAATTATAGTTTAATAAGTTGTATTCGTAACAGTCTGTACTCTACCACAGAACACAATTACTCTTCGCTTTCTACCGAGATTTATAATTATTAAATTCATAGTATCATTTCTTTTCGTTGTGTCTCCTACCGAGAGTATGTACTACGTCACTCATTACGTCTGTCTTGCAGCTAGGCATGCCGATGTGTGATCGATTAATCGAAGAATCGATTTCTTGTGCAAAAAAGAGCGATTTTTTATCGAAATATACACTGAATCGATCCAGTGAATCGATATTTCATCCTAAAAAACCGAGACCGAATCTTTTTGTGTTTTCATAAAAAACTATAAAATTATTTATATCAATTAATTGAATATACCCAAACACGTAAAGAACAATTCTAGATCTATTCAAAAACCAGCAAAACGTTTGTAATCTGCACTTTTTACAAATCTGAAAACAAATCGAAAAGAGATCGATTTTTGAGAAATCGTTGTTTTAGGTCTCTATTTTTTGTGAATCGATTTGAATCGATTAAAAAAACGATGTTTTCGGAAAGAATCGACATCATACGTCATTGGCAAATTTTATCAAACCGCCACAAAACAAAGAAGAAGAAGAATCGACATCTCTACTTGCAACTAATAGAGAGTAATAATCTTCAACTCACAGATGCCACTATAGTTAGGACTGAGGTGAACTTTTTGTAACACTTATAGGATGTCATTTAATCGAGAAGTTACGTCTTAAATAAAGAAAAACAGTTTCTAGAGTATTTTATTAATTCCCAAATTAATACCTCAGTGGTTTGCTCTTTAATTTTTTTGCACATTTTTTACTCTCTTTTAAATTGCCTCACTTTTATGAATATTTGTGGTTTGGTTTATTTATTTTAATCTTATTAATATAAAATTTAACTAATAGTACACAAAGAAACATTAACCTTTACATTTGTCGAACAAATTAACTTCCCCGCTATTATTAATTTATATATTACACTAGATCAGTAACAACCTCGCCAAAGCGTTGCCACTGCACATATGGCCACAGCCATATGCCTAGCTAATGTCAATATTCAGTGTTCAATGTGACGCCTACAGAGTTGAGCCGCGACAAAAAAGGGGTAAATGCGTAGTGAAAAGATGCTATTCAAGGTCACAAAAACGTAATAAATCAAGTGGAATCACTTTCAACACATAATTTTAGTTCTTGTTTTCATATAACGTAAAAAACCTCAAATAATTAAATAAAATTATCGAATATTGCCATTTAGGTTCAATGTTGCCATTTGTGATTATCCTACATTAATGGGAGACAATGTAATTAATGGAGTAAGTTAATTTGTTACCTCTGATTTTAAATATTTTGGAAATTATAATAAAAACTACGTTTTAACTTTTTTACGTTTTAAATAATTAATTATTCTTATTTTAGTTTATTCCTGAATTATCTATTAAATATACAATATTACCTATTTTATATTAATAATTTTATATTTATTATAATTTCATATAAATTTTATATTAATTATGTTTTATTACCTATTTTATATTGTTTGATTTATTAGTACAATAAAAATATTTATAAAATATGTTTTATTTCATCATTATGTTTACTTCTATTCATCTGATAAGCTTTGTATCATTTTTTTCTAATGAGACGCAATAAAGATTTATTTAAAAAAATTTTACTTTTTTACTTTTCTTATAACTCATTTTTATTGCGTATTTTTAGGTTAAATTTCATATAGTAAGCCACACCAACCCGCCATTGCATGTTTGTGTGTCTATCTTTATCTTATCTTAGCGAAGATATTGTTTTCGCAACTTGTGTAAGTGAGATAGTTTATGTTTATTTAAAATGTTTAGTAATTTCAAAGCTACGTCGTCGCGTTTGGGTAGTGGTTACACCTTATTCGACGCGCGGTAATGTGGTTTGTTCCTCTTGTATTGTATAACTCAATGCCCGCTATGTAATCTATCAAATATTACACGTCATTTTTAAGTGAGTTTTTTATCATTTTGTAGGGTTATAATTATATAGTAAGAAACAAATATATTCAAAGGGATTAAGATAATATGATATTCCGTTTTATTTGTATTACAAAAAGTAGATTATAGTTAGTCGCAATCTCAAACCAGAGCCTGTTTTATTAATGAACTTTCGTGAAAAAAAAAGGTGTGTACTAAAATGTAAATTATGGAATTTAACAGCAAATATGGTTGTTATGCCGTTTGCTTAAGAGACTTCTTTCTTGACAATAACTCCCTTGTAACCCGTAACTACCAAAAACCACATTTTGTAAAGAGACCGCTTATCTTTAATACTTGACACTAAATTTTCATATGGTGTATTTAAAACTATGTTATGTAATCATCAACCTCATTAGCATCATTACATCCCATCAAAGTCCACAGCTGAAAGTAGATCTCCCCCATTTTATCATAACTGGGATATTTGCCACACTTGGCAGACGGGTTGGCAATTGCAGTTTTTTATACTGTTTCCTCCATAGAGGGGATTTTTCATAGTATTTCGACTTGAGCCGTGGTAGCTTATATGGTTAACGCTCGCAGTAAATATAACAGAACGCGAGTAACACGGGTTCGATCCCCGCCGCACCAATGAAATTGTTAATTGCAATTTTAAGTGCTGATTTACCACGTACTCGGCGGTGAAGGAAAACATCGTGAGGAAACCTGCATGTCTGAGGAATAAGAGAAAAAAATATTTCGAAGACATGTGAAGTTCGCCAACACGCATTGGGGTAGCGCGGCGGACACTTCCTTGCCCTAAAATCCTCTCAGAAATGAGAGGAGGCCTGTGCCCAGCAGTGGGACGTATATAGGCTGTAACTTTAACTTTAACTTTAGACTTGGCAAGCTGGTTGGTAACCACCTTAGAGCATAAATAAGGAAGCTATAGAGCCCGCGTGCCGCTCTTTGCGCCAGCAGGTGCTCTATAGATACTGATACATAGATGAAGCGGTTAATAGTGATGCGCCAAGATTTACGCATATGTGTTATTGTCTTTGAGTATTAAACCAAAGGAGACGGCATCGCAAGGCATAGCCCTCTGTAAAAGGTACGAGGGTCCGACTCATACTCGTTATATAAAACTAGTTGCTCCGCGTCATACGTCATTCGATCGTGCCAGTAAATCGAGCTCCGACAAAATGCCGAATTGCAGTGTATTTACATGAAAAAAAAAACAATCAAAACGTCAAGTATACAAAAGGACAATGTGACTTTTCATCTGTGAGTATTTTTAACATAATATTAAAGTAATTTTATCATTAAAACTCGTACTTTGTGAATATTATCGTCCAATACCTAGTGTGGCCATCATAGTTCATAAAGTGAAAAATAATCTATTTTTAAATAAACATAATTTACTACACAAGTTATATATATTAACGAAAATATATTTTGTAATAACTAAATTATATAATTAAATATAATCGATAACTAGTACTTATTAAAATATTATACAAAATACAGGCCAAATAAGTCAAATCGTAACTTGCTACCTCGCAGCAAAAGTGTGCAATTTTTATAAAAATAAACTGGTATCACTGCAACCGAAAGTATTGCACTATAATGATGAACGCCGCAACTTTAGCTATCGATAAGTTAATTAACCATGCGGGTTTGTCTGCCGAACCGGTTTGTAGTTTTTATTTAGATATCATATTAAAGTATTACAAAAAGTAGTAAATTTTTCTATTATTGGTTTGTTTTTACAGATTTCCAAGAGATCCTCTTAGGCGGCATACTTGGATTGTAGCTTGTGGAAACCATGAATCTGACACTGCAGTACCAACCTTGAACTCTCTAATGTTTGGCTGTAATTATATTTAGATTAAATATTTTTATTATTACTTTTGTCACCAATATTATTCTACTTGAAAATATATATTTTATTGAGTTTACAAAAGCATTAACCTATCAAATTTAATTCCTATATTTATATACCTATTATTGTAATTGTAAACTTAATGTAGTATAATTTTTGAACGCCATAAATGGCAAAACATGTAGCTTGTTTTAAGTTTTTTAACACTTGTATTTTATTTACTTATGTTTTACATATTACATATAGCTTGAATCTTCTGACTAAAATAAAATTATTTATTTTAGGGTGATCGTGGTGATTACACAATATCGTCTACATCGAAAAAAGAAAGCTGGATGTTCCGGCAAAATTCCATAAGTTATCTCGAAAGTCACAATTCGAAAAAAAATCGTTATATAGGCTGATCTAGTCCTAATTCCACTGCGAGTACGAGCCAACACTTAGGCCAAGGAAAATTAAAATGAAAAATGCCTTGACATAAAAAACAATAGCATAAACAGGCTTCACAAGTTTGCAAGAAATACTATGCCCTAACACTTAACTATTACTCACCAAAAGCCTATCGCTATGTACGTAACTAAACTTTTGGAACATGTTGCCCTGCACCACGTACATTGACTAAGTGGTACACTACCATCGATCGCCGACCAGGGTTTACTCAAGAAGCGCTGACGGCATTAAAATTGAGAGCGGAGAGTAACCCTGATAAAAAAATTATTGTACCTTGGTAATGGATGAAATGAAAATTAAGCAATTGACAGAATACCATGCTAGTAGCCAAAGGCATTACGTATATAACAAAAATTTCTTTTAGAACTTGCATGGTACTCCGTCAATTGTTTTATTTTCATTTCATCTATCACTAATCTTAATATATATAAATTACGTGTCACGTTGTTTTTCCGCGATGGACTCCTAAACTACATAACCGATTTTATTAAAATTTGCACACCGTGTGCAGTTTGGTCCAACTTGAGAGATAGGACAGTTTTTTTTCCTATAAGTGACCCACAATTCTATTTTGTAAATTTAAGGATTTTTAATAGGACATGACAATAG